TTATTTATCTGCTTCAAAAGCTATAAATTCAATAATAAAACACGATATTCAGGACTTCAATTTTATGAAAATATTACCCAAGAACTATTGTCCGATGTTTTGTTTTGTCCTTTAAGATAACAGTTGACAAGCTTTCTCTTTTGATTATAAATTTAAGTGATTCAAATAGGATATCAAACAAGTTTCATGCACAAATATCGAGAAAAGCAAAGTCTTTTTATCCAAATAATTGAAAGCAAATATTGTCATATAGAAGTATTCCAAAAGAAAGAAAGGATCGCATATTACAGTGATGTTTCACCAACTAAAGTCTGGAAGAAAATGGGAATTCCGAAAAATTATAATGGTAATATTTTATTTGGAATTAAGCATCATTTTACAATTAATGCATTGAAAATTTAACAGTAATCTCCAATATATAATGTGAATGAATAGAATGATGTTGAATTAATGACCCAAGAAATTGAAAGAATCTAAAGCGTAAAATTTCCGTTGTTGGAATTGATTAGTATACGTTTTTTACTGAGTGGAAAGAGCAAGAGTCAAGTATTATAGAATTTATGATGCATCTTAAACGGCTATAACGAAGATGATGAAAAGCGTAGTTGTACATATGTTAACTCCCTACTAAAAGCAAGGATCGAAAGTATGTTTTTTTTAAATTTAAACAACTTCATTTTTGCCAAAAAGTCGATAGCTACTTTTATAATACAAGAATCTACTAAATGGATCTATAAAAGAAAATAATCGATTGAAAAGTATAATTGATGAATTTTAGAATAGTTTTAAAGAAACGATTAGAGTCAATAAATGTGGATTGGATAGAAAGCAACGAATTCTCTATTATCGCGGAAAAATTTGGACATAGGGAAATACAAGAAATTTTGCTGATATACATAAAAAACAATTCGTCAATTATTTCGTTATTTCATGAAAAATAATATTTATTCTAATTTTTTTTAGACTTCAAACGATTTAATTAATGCCACAAAGAAATATAGACGTGCAAATGATCAGGATGACCCGCGAGAGTTAAAACGAAGTTATATTTCTGAAATAAAAGACAAAGAATTCAAGAGTTTTTTTCTGACAAAGATAATGTCACTATGAGCTCATAACGCGTTGATCCGAAAACTAACCTGCCGTTACTATATTTAAAGGATAACAAAGAATCCCTCTGACAAAATTCGAAGCGACTTATCGCACGCTTAGCAAGTGGTCGCCATGTGTATCGAAAAGATTTGGGCGGATTATATAATATTTGCAGTGATTATTGCTACGAAGTGTTTGATACATTGATAAATTTGGTAAAGTCAAATGTAAAACAGGAATCGTGGGTAAAATATTCATTTATTTGTTACATTTAATGAATTTATTATAAATAAATATACATAATATTCTCTAATAAAATAAATCTAATAATTTTCAAGAAACATTAATACATTGATGAACGAACTTGAGAAGTTACGCCATGAAGATCCGTAAATATAGCTGTAAATATAGAAGCACAATCTCGCATTCGGATATAATTAACCGTTGTTTACTGTACGTGTTTGGGGAATGTAATTAAGAACATAAGATCCGCGATCAACTGTTCGTGCTTATCGAACATTTAGCTACCTATACTTCCAAAGAATCTTCGAACTACAATTGAGGAGTCACGAAATAACCTTTACTATTTTCTTGCTTACCAGGCAAGAAAGGTCTGTTCGAATCACTTCAAAGCAAACTTTTAGAACTTGATGATGGTAGAACGGTATTGGTATGCGATTACAAAACGAGAATTTTACCTAAAAGTGCCCGGGAAACCAAGGCGTAATTCTTTGGAAAACGAGGATGGAATCTTCATACGATTTTGGTTTTTACAAAACGTGACGATTTGCAGCTTAATGTGCAAGCATTTGACCACTGATCTACCAAGCAAGACACTTGGTTTACAGCATCATTCTTTGATGCTGTTGCCGAAACGCTAGACCCAAAACCAAAGTGGATCAAAATCTTTTCTGATAATGGTGAACGTTACCACAATTCGGAATTGATGACCATTGTTGCAAATTGGAACCAATGGTATAATATCGATGTTCATGGAACTTCCTTGAACCTGGGATGAAAACCCAGCGTTGATTCGCATCAATCGCAGGTAAGTTGCAGAATTTCACCGAAAAGAGGAACATCCATCAATATCTACTGTATCATGAACAAGCGTGTAAATTGGACATCTTGAACTGAAAATCATCCTATAATTAAAGCATTATATTAATTAATGAGTAAGGACTTGTTATATTTGAAATTTTTTTTTCGCTAAAATAATTATATTTTAAATAGCAAGAGATAAGTAAGAGTTTGTTACTATTTAGATGGAGGTGAGATAATAGATGTTGCTATAAAAAACTTGGGCGGAACCTCCGTTGCTCATCTGGATCCAAAACGTAATCAAGTGCTCGTTAAAACTATACCAGGCATTACAAATCATCTTATTTTGAGTGGCCTAAGGAGGCTCAGGTATTATTACCGCACATAGGTGTTATTCTCAACAAATCTGATCAAAGAACCCTTGAATACGTCAACTCCTAGTTTTTCCGCCCATACGAAACCAAATTTAGTATGGAATTTCCCATTGCTCGGACTGAAAGTACGGTAGTGAATGTTCTATTTATGTTCGTAAGAAACCTAATCTTTTTAGTAAATATTTCAGATAAGACCACTTTTGAGAGTAAAAACCATCATATAGGTATAATATCTATATTACGGCTTAGGAACAAATCACTGATAACTGCAATTCATTGTTAGTTATAAACGAAAATTTTCCATTAAAAAGTGGATGAGCGCTCAAAAGTAGCCATAAATATGGTCAACAAGGCACTGGAAAATGCATATCAATGAAGGTGAAAACTTACTTAGAAAGGTTTTTTTAGCAGGGAATGTGAACAAAATTGATCGAATGTCTGCAAAAGAAATAGTAATATAGCTAAAAGAGCTAGCTGAAGAAGGGAAAATGAAGTGCCAGAAATAAAAACAGTTGAAGGATGGATTACAAGGTATTCAGCAAGCTCGCGTAAAGAATCAGCAGAACAAAGGGTAATCGAACCTAATAAAAGACTTGAAGAAGATAGTAATGGTAAAAATAACCATAAGCGGCAGAAAAGATAATAGTTACTGTATATAATCAAAATCTATAGTTTGACCTATATCCGGCCAGGTTCGTGGTGATTTCAAAAAAGGTCTTTAAGATTTTTTTATTTAGCATAAAAGCTTATAAATTTATAATGGAGGTATTTTCACCTGCTCTGAAAGTTTACTTAGGATTCGGAAGAAGGTTTTGAATGTCGATTTTGACGATGATTTTTTAAAAAATAGATTTGGCGAAAGAATAAATAAATCGATAACGATATTTAAAACCGCCTTTGTCGCTCTAAGTAAATTCAAAAATTACACCTAGCTAGTAACTTTTAATGGCAATTTATTATTAGAAAAAAAATTTCTTTTTATGACTTTTGTTGCGCCACAATCAATTGGCTGCGCCAAGCTTTGAGATCATTATTCAGATGTAAAAAATACCTAGTATCAAGCTGATTCAAATATTCATAGAATAATTCACGTTTTTACTAAAAACTATTTTCTTTAAAAATAGTTTGTTTATTTGTTTATTAAAAGTTAATAAAGTGTAAAAGAATAATTTCTTAAATGTCTTTATTATAAAAGTAATAAAATAATTTTTTTATAATAATATTTTAAGAAAAATACTGCTTTTTTTTCATCTCTTTTTTTTTAACTTCGTTTTTTTCTAAGGATATTTATCAGTACAACACGATAATGAGATAATCTGATTGGATGTGTCACGTGATCAAGAGCTGTGGCGTGACACAGATTTCAGATGTGCGCCAGAAATAAATTATATCTAGCAAAATAAAAAAAATTGATAATTCATCACCTGATATCCGGATTTTTGTCAGATCCCGAATTCAGATTAAGAATATCTGATATATGATTTATTCCGTCTTACGCATGGCGGTACAGGTATAAAATTAAACTCGTTGAAACTATACGGATTACAAATATATAGTAAGTATTAACATATTTGAATTTTATCAATTTTAATATATCAGATAATGAAATGAGTTGTCGGTGCCTTTATATACATGTCATATCTTTCATGAAGTTCTGCGGTAAAACTGCCAACTAATAAGGTTGAATTGGCGACAATATCACATCCATACCAACGTTGCTCAAATTCAAGGTTTGATTCTTTTCTTTCTACATCAGCCCATCTCTTTAACACACCTAACAAAATTTTATTATATAAACCTATTATCAGGAGTTGCTTGAATGGAGACTAAAAAATCTGAAAGATTATATTATATTAACAGATTTTGGTGAAAGCGCAAATCGGTTTATCACATTTACGAAACAGCAAGTGGCCACCATCGTTTGTTTGCACATGTCATGTTCGTGATTTTTAACGCATCATATAAAATACTTACTGTATATGTGGTGGGTATAACCGACATGACTGCACGGTTATACTTATATTGTCAAAATTTATATAGTACAGCAATAATAAAAATATTTAAATGACAAATTTAACTTTAAATAAGGGCCGTGGCATTATATTAGGTAATATTTTAAGGGGTGAGGTATTCATAAATCTTAGGTTACATATATTACTATATAAAGGTAATTAATATATATATCTTAGGGGTAATAGGGGTAAGCTCTTATATTAAAGTAATATTATGTAATATATGTCACTGCCCTAACGAAATTACATAATTCACCAATAATCAACATAATTATCTCTATGAATGGTGACGGTTATTTACGTGCCGCCGCGATATATGAACTTATTTTTACGTTTAATCTTAACTAGCTAATAATAATTATAATTCAATAAATCAATTTCTTGGTTTAATTTCAACTAGTAATTCGAAGCAATCAACAAAAATAGCGATACTCCTAGTTTTAATAGGAGAATTCGTATCTACTAAATTAATATCATATTTCCTAAACAATAAAACCATTGTACAAACTAATTCAATCATTGCCAACTTTCTTCCTGGACATGATCTTAAACCTCCACCAAACATAATAAAAGAATTCTTCTTTGGCTCAAAATTTTCAACCATCCATCTATCAGGATTAAATCTATTAGGTTCTTCCCAATAATCATCTTTATTATGAATAGCTTTAATATCAATTATAAACGTTATGCCAGCTGGCCATTGATATCCTGCTATTTTATCAGATTTATTAGTATATCTTGAAAATGAGCGCATAGCTGGGAGAATTCGAGCTACTTCTTTTACAATTGCTTCACAGTAGCTTAAACTATAATAATCATCTTTTGTGATTGGTCGTATTTTATCATCTTGGAATATACTATCAATTTCTTTTAGCATTTTCTTTTTCACATCTGGATTACGTGAAATATAATAAATAATGAATGAAAGCATATTCGCAGTCTATGTTTGATATGTTTGAAAATGAATGATTAAAATAATTTCAAATTAAAGCATCGCATTTATGATTTTTCTAAAAAAGTTGCTTACTTTGTTACATCCGCCAAGAAGTCCATCAAATAAATTACCGCGAATTTCAGTATCAGTCATAGCTTTCGTGGCTTTACCAGCTTCGATATAATTAACATCACGAAGTGTATTTTTAATAATCATTGATGTCAATATATCATGCGGTAAATGTTCATCCAACGGTATATCTTCAATTTCTTGTCTACGTTTCTTAATAATTGCATCAAGTTTTTTATTAACAAACTTCATGTTTTGAAGTAAATTATCTGCTTTATTTTTAAAAAATGGAAAATAATGTCGTAAGAAAGGAGAAATGGAATAAAATATTGCATAATCTGCAAGAAATATGCGAAGTGCTTGAACTATTTTTGCAGAATCACAGACTATTGCTGATGGACCGGATTTTTCATCACCGAAAGTATCAAAATAAGCTTTCATTAAATCAGGTCTTTTACCAGTCAATAATTTAATAATCATATCAAATGAGTATTGATTAAGCCATTGAAACATATTAAATATATTTTTATTTTCTTTGATAATTTCTTCTTTAAGAAATAATTTATTCCAATAACTATCTAATTTATTGAAACGTTCATTTGTCCAATCAATAGCTTCATCAGTAAATTTCGGTGACATAATGGCTTGTAAAAAAAAATGACGATTATATATCCACGATTTAAAATTATTATTGAATACTAATCCTTTTCCTTCAATTCCCAATTCATCTGGCCCTTTGAAATTGGGAAATCTCGTCCAATGTGCACTTCGTTCTGATAAAAAATTTTCAATATATTCTTTTCGACATAAAACTATAGACCGTACGCCTGTATAAGTTGAATAAATTTCATATATGTCACCATATTTCTCGTGACAATAATCGTAAAACATTTGAGCATCTCCCTTAAACTGCCAATGAATATGGGGCAAATTACCAATGAATGGGATTGGGATTGGGCCAGGTAAAGGGTTAACACGAGTAAAATATGTATAATAATAATATGCCACATATGTCATTAATGCTGCACTTAACAACAAAGCACAATCATTAATTGTAAAATTCTCAAGCAGGTTAATAATCATCTCAGATAATTTTTTCAGGGATATTTATATGTTTTTATACGATAAAATAAATCATTTAAAAGTGAAAGTTGAAGAAAGTTTGGAAAGTATCATTATTATCAGTATATAAATAAATATATTCCGATAAAGATAGTCAAAGGGCCATCCAATCAGAGCAAACGAATATTTCATTATCTATTTGTAAAAACTGATCATTGTAAGGGATCTACAAATTATGATTATGAGAAAAGGGGAAGCTCCTTAACAAATTCGAACTCTAATAGGTGATGTCGGTCAAAAAATAGTGTGACATAAATTATTATTAGAGTGCACATTATTCGTAAATATTTTGTGCACAACATATGAAGTCATATGCGCTCTTATTTAAAATTAATAATATTAAGCGTCACTATGAACTACTTTCAATTGAAATGTACGCTAAAGAAAATTTCGGTAACGTGATTTACCGAATTTTATTGGTCAGATTTTTCGCGATTTTTTTTTTTTCAAGAAAAAAAATAACATTTTATAACTTAAAAATATTATAATAAAAAAAAAATGAAGAAACATTTATTTAAAATATTTCTTATAATCCTTTTCACATTATAAAATTTTATTGTTGGTTTTTTCTATTAAAATAACCGAATAAATTATTTATTATTTTAAAAACTTAAATAATTTAAATAATTGTGATAAAAAAGATAATTTTTATAACATATTAAATAGAAAAGTCTGATTCAAAACTTGATAGTTCGTCTTTATACTTCCAAGGTTGCGAAAAAATTTTCAATTAATTTTGTAATTTAATCCCTATAAAAAATTTTTATCCGAATATTTCCATTATTTCTCCGTGACTTTCGTAAAAATTCTGTGAAAAAGATACATTCACGGAAAAATCATGGAATTTTTACAGAGAATATAACAACAAAATAAAATACAGTCGACTCTCCTTTATAGGCACACTCAGATATAATCACACCCTCCTTATAAGCACATTTACGTTAGCTCCATGTTACTAATAAACTTATCAAAAAAAAACCCCTCTTTAGTCACATCATATAGTATTTTTATAATCACACCATACTTTTTTAGTCCCAAGAGGTGTACAATAAAAATTAAGAAAATAGAATAGTCCTGAATGTTGAATGAGCGTCAAATATACACAATTAATTCATCCGAAAGACCTTATTTTCCTTTTTTTCCCACTAAAAAAACCTTTTTCTATTAACGCAAAGTATCTCGCCGTTGCACGAAACAATATAATGACAATTATTGCGGATAATTTATGCTCATCCATGTAATCAATTGATTTTAGAAGTATGGTCATAAACAATGATAATGCGAAGGAAATTCTTGACCTAAAACAAATTTTACAGTAAGTTATGCAATAGTTTTCAAATTTTTTGATATTTATATGACGACATTTTTTTTATGACAGAATTTTCTTGAAAATTAGATGATTATCATTCGCATATCTATTCCTTATTCAACTTGAGCAGAATGCAAGTAATAAGGCTTCATTTATTCCATTGGATGAACGTTGTATGAAAATCGTGCCTTTTAAGACAAGAACGACATGATAATAATAATACCTTGGAACGTCAAGTCTGTCAAGAGATGAACATTCAAATCAATAAGTATTTATTAAAATAATTTTGGATGCAAATAAATTATAAATTTTTACGTCAATAAAAAATAAGTTTTATTATTATCATATATTTTTTTGATACAAATTTAATGTATGACATAAATTGATAAAGTAAAAATGTTCTGTCAAAGTGTATCTATTTTAATATTCGATTAATAATACGGTACTTTTATTCTTTTATAATCTGTCAAAAATCAAGAATGACGAATTATAATTAATTTTAAATTAGATAAAAATGGGATCCCGTATATTTCTGACAAAAATATCTACCAATAAATTGTAATAAGGATTATTCCGTCTCGGTTTGAATTTTTTTTTTTAAAAAAAAAAAAAATTGGAAAGTCATACCAGGCATATCACAATAATATCAAAACATTACAATACAATAATTACGAAATAAATTTATTGAAGGATAATAATAAATAATAAAAATTTAAAATTTTTTTCATTAGATTAGGCCGGGCAAAATTAATTTTTAGATATTCGTGACATAAAATTTTAAAATTGACGGGGATTTTTTTTTCTTTTTCATATTATATGTATTATATTTTGTACAAATATATCTTGTATTACACAAACAAAGATAAATTGTTAAATCTATGTAAATCTATCTTCCGCCACTTTTTTTATAAAAAGTAAAATCTATAATTGTACGTGTTTTGCTTCGTTCTAAAACTGGAAGTTTCCTATTGTTCAAGTGGTTTATTTGAAGACATTTGCTTTCAGTGTGGAAAAGTACCAGAAGATGAATTTGATGAATCTGAAAAAGTTAGCGTGAATGAAATATATTAACACTATTGTGATGAGTGTTATATGACAGTTTCAAATAAGAAGAAGCGTGGTAATTTCCAAGTAGCAAAAAGGTCACGAAAATAATATGTAACATGAATTTTTATACGGTAATAAAGTATATGCAATTTATTATTATAAAAAAATAATAATTAAAATAAATCTTCATCGGTTCATCCTAATTAATATACTTTACAATACCAAGACTCAAAAATATACTTATAAACCTTACAGTAGAACCGTGTGGAATCAATCGCTCAGTATCGTAATTGAGATTTAAAGGAAATTTCATATAAAATGCTCATTGATACTGCAATGATGAAAATTGGATGTGATTGAATGTATATAAGCGCGATATTTCATAATGGCGCTCATTATTATTTTTATTTTCATATGCAAGAGCGCATATCTGATATGACTTCATGTGGTTTAAAAACTTTGACAAATTCAATAATTAGTACGAAATCCCGAATAAGTGTGATTTATCGATCAGGATGACAAATTGGTTGAAATTTTGTAGCGCAGAGCGCACATTATTTATAATAGATCCTTACAATGATCAGCCTTTAATGGAATTGTTATTAACATCCCTAACTTATTGGATATTATTGATATTATTACACTGATACACTGATAATGACACTCCCCGAACTTCCCTCAGCCTCTATTTTTAAAATTTAACAAATAAATTTTAATATTATAAAAATTTTTTATATCTGTTAAATTCTCAACATCATTGTTGAAGAAATATAATTAAAGAACTATCCAAATTAATCCGTAAATCTATAATTTATTACCAAGGTTATTCTGCGGAACATAATTTTACTTATTAAAAATGATTAGCAAGGTAGTAGTATCATGGGTCACTAATCGAAACCTAAATGTCACCCCGTTATGATCATGTGTTCATTGCAACATTAGAATGGAAAAGGTTCGCGGTTGAGCGGTTTGAGTTGATTCGTTCCTTTTGGTTCGATGCTTTCGGTTCCGAATCGGTTCCGATAAGTTTTTGATATGATCAGTTAAGCTCAAGTCGATTCGTTCAATAGAATCGGTTAGGAACCGGAACGGATCAAGCGAGTCGTTCCCAATCCCTACCGTGTACTGTTTATGTATAACAGTAGATAGCTTTATTGTTTGGGAAAGTCGGTGTTTTGGTTGATTATGTCGAATTATTAGTTGAAATTCAACCGAGAAATTGATTTTTCATCGTTATTATTTGAGATTAAACAGAGAAATGGACTTTCTTATATTATTTTAAAGATAAATTTATATACCGCGGCGACTCGTAAACAACTGTTGCCATTCAGATATTTACAGGTTAAGTTTTGATTATTGGCGAATTATATAACTAAATTATTTAAGATTAAATTTATTTATTTCAGTATTTTTATTATTTTTGAACTTAAAAATTTAAAATTTTTGTGCAGTCTTGGTGGTTATACTCACGCCACCACATATACAGTAGGTACAGACGTACAGTAGTCATTTTATACGAACCCGATATGTGTCAAATAAACGCTTTATTATTTTTTTGACTACAAAAAGAAAAATCGATTAAACTTGACCGTCGTGTTACATTTTAATATCACGTAGTTATAAAGAAATTAAATAATTAATAAAATAATAAAGCTCTTCTGTTACAGGTTTTGTTAAAACACTTTCTATATTATGGCGGCTACTTGTTTTTTTTATCCTGTTTCGTAAACGTGATAAACTGGTTTGCGCTTTCACCAGAATCTATTGACATAATGTATGCGTCCACAATATAATCTTTCAGACTTTTTTGACTCTGTTCGAGCAACTCCTGATAATAGTGATATAATAAAATTTTTTTAGGTGCGTTAGATGTAAGAGATGGTTGGTGTAGAACAAATAAAAAGAACAAACCTTGAATTTGAGCAACGTTGGTATGGATCGTGATATTAACGCCAATTCAACCTTATTAGTTGGCAATTTCGACCGAAGAACTTCGCGGAAGATATATAACCCTCGAAAGGGTACTGACAATTCATAGCAAATTACTTCATTATCTGATATAAAAGAAAATTTAATAATAAAATTCTTATGCAACATGGATCATTTTCAAATACGTTAACACTTACTATATATTTGTAATCCGTATAGTTTTAACGAGCTAAGTTTCACACCTGTACCACAATGCTTTCTTACAATCCTATTGATTATGATTTTCAACATCTTAGCGATCTTTAATTTATCACTGAAAAAGCGTGGATGGCTGCGCTGGTTTGGTGGTCCACTGACTTCACCGACAGTAAATTCAAGGTCTGTTGACTTTAAAGACCAAATGATATCAACTTTTCGTCCAACTTCACGAGATTCTTTATCAGTTTTTTCGAGATTAAGTTCTTCAGATGATGCGAATAAATGTTTCTCACCGCTGCATGGATATACTCATTAAAAATAGATCAAGTTTAAGCAAACTTTTAAGTATACTCACAAAAAAATGCGCATCTCCCGATGCATTCCACGGAACAAACTACGAATGAGAGGTGCCAGAAAAATTTCTCGATATGCTAGTTCAGACAAATCAAAGTCTGTAAGGTCGTTGTCTCTTTCAAAAGATTCCGCACTAAGAAAAAGAACTTGGATGTGAGACTTCGAAAAAAAAACAAAGACTAAATTATCTTATTCTTACAGAAGATTCGCAAAGTCCCATATAAATTTCAGAGTATCGTTTTTTCGTGTTTCAACATAGTTCTCATCGACAACCTTGCGAAAATCGTTTGCCTATATTATTAAATTAAGTAGAATATTTAAAAAAAAGGCATCCAATAATTATGCTATAATTTTAAACAACCCATGGGTTTGATTAAATTGTACTGTATATAATGAGACAAAGAATAGACCACATATACCTTAATAAATTTAACAATTAATTCTTTCACATCATTCGCGATAGATGGCTCTTCTGATGATCCAAATTGCTTCATCTCATATATTGCATCATTAGGCTGGGATCGTATAAAGTCACTATTTGACCCTGGAGTAACATCTATAATATCGTAAAATGCTAGACTAAAATTTTCCAATATAAACATATCAAGTATAAACATAATGCATTTTAAACATATTATAAGAAATAATTACTCGGTGCGCGGTCGGTCTTTTCGTTTTTGCCATTTTGTTAACGCATCACGTACATTGATCTTCGTGCTACCCACAATCCATATCTTTCCATTATATTGGATGGTCTCTTCGGCATGTTTTTCTAATTCATCCTCCTCATTAGTATTTTTTTCATCATAAAGAAAGTTTACGTTATCCAGATCTTCACGTCGGCGTTTATATGAGTTTTCCTTATCTTCCGTTTCAAAATCTACTTTAATGTAATATTCAATAAATTGAATAACTATAAATAATAACATACCTATTTAATAATGGAATTTAATATTTATTATATTTGTTATCTAATTGGTTAATTTCAAGGCACTGAAAAAAACTAAATAATATATACCTAGGTGCTTATCAGTTATCGGAGTTGCCAAAGACCGTTTATCTCCAACATTACTAATGTTGACGCCTTCGCAAGAAACAAGCTGTATGCAGTTCGTTCCCGCGTTAATATTCTTTTCTTGAAAAGTTTTTTCAACACAAAGCCATAATTTATCTATATTGCTTCCTGCTTTACGATGATTCTGGTTCTTGATACAAAAAAAAAGAAAAATACTATTAATATATTTAAAATGCTTTTAGCGTACCATTAACGTTAAAAAATAAAAAATGCTATTAATATATTAACCATAACGATCTAAAAGATCATCAGAAGGACAACTAAAAGTTACGTCTTCCTTGTTATGGACGTCGCAACCACAACGATCTAAAAGATCTTCAGAAGGACAACTAAAAGTTGTGTCTTCCTTGTCGTGGACAACCGCAGTCAACTAAAAGATCACTGCGGAGGACATTTCCTATACGGAGAAAGTACTTGCCTGACATTTGGCTAAAAGTTCGTTAGCTTTCCAGATTTTTGAGAGATCCGCGCTCCGATTAATAATCGCGCGGAGGCTTTTAATAAGCGTGTCCATAGCCTTGCTATAAATTAGTTTCTCAGGTTCATTTTTGTGAACATCGATCCAATTTTTATGAAATTGGAAAACAGACCAGTTATTAACAGGAATATCATCAAAATAACGATTCCAAGAATTCATAATAAGTGTTGTAAAAGTTATTCGTAATAAAGAGAAACGCGTCGCGCCATAATTTGGTTGATCTACATATACTTGAACAAAGTGGTTTTTATTGGTTATGTTCCACGTGATAAACTAACAATAGAATTAATTGAATCTAGCCGGGATTAGGAATAGAAAAAAAAATTTTTTTTTTTGCCGTACGATACAAATTTTCATTGTACAATGAGGGTGTACGATATTAACACCGGAATTAACGTTAACTCTATCACGTGCAAGTGCATAACTGGGTTAGTTTGTACGTTAAAATTGTACACCCAACTGTACGTTAAGGACGTCCGTTGTAAAGTATCTGCATAAAATATAAAATATCAGTCAATAGATGTTTGGAGTCGCTTTGATATAAAGAAAATGATACTATGAACTACAGTATATATTTATCAAAAAAAGCCGGAGAAACTAGCTAAATAAATTTGTTTCTGATTTATTTGTTATTTATTCGAACGGGACCAGGTTATTTATTTCATGAAAGATAATTAACCATATTTTATTTTTCCTAATAAATAATGAGTGTGCTATTATTAATGGTTAAAACCAAATAAAGGAAAATAGTTATGTTTGTGTGTTAGTATATTCTTGGCATCGGTATCATGACACTGTAAATACTAAATATTTACAAAATAGTTTCATTTTCGTTTCCAGAACGATAATATCATTGAATCCATTGAATTCGAATAAATAAATTAAGGACCACGACCACTTTTATCAATATAAAATTATTATTTGATTTTATATAACAAGATACGATATAAGGGGATCGTTCATCCTGCCTGAAGAATGGGTAAAGCAAGTTCTTTAATTAATATTATTAGACAAGAAAGAGATATTTTGAAATTACGTAAATTAAATATTGATTCTCCGATATCTATCTCCAATGAAATAAATATACTTAATGAACTTTCAAAGGCTCTTAAAACCCATTCCACTTTTGAAATATATAAAAATGGTTGCAAGTATAGATTAGATCAAATGAGTTTCCAAGATGATGAAGATAATGCCACTAAATTTCTTGTCAACTTTCGTTCGCTTTGTTTTAAGGCGGAAATCATTAATCCACAGGAGATTAAAAATCATCTTTTGGAAAACATATTCATCAAATGAATTCTTTAAACGTGAATTTCCAAAGAAAATATCTGGCAACACATCAATGAATGAAATTTACAAAGTAACCATTAAACTTACAAGCGAATTCCAATTAATATATGACATACAAAGAATTTTAGGAATTACAGTAATAAAATTATGTGAAAACGTACTATAAATTGCATTAATCTATTTAATTTCATAAGGAAGGTAACATTTTTTTGGAATCTGATACGGGGTGCACTTTAATAATATACTAAGTTCAACAAGCCGCAGCAAAACAGTCGGAAGAACCGGAAAGATATTAATTATGTAATCCCCTGTCGCACTAAGTGTCACCTTTTAAAAATTGCGAGTGATTAGCTGAGTTTATAAATGACCGTTTACTTATTTCCTCATATAGATAGCCGGGAAATTACTAATTTTAGTTTAAAATAGTTTAAATTATTTAATGAGTGACACGCTCCAGAGGGGATTACCCATTTATTTCATGGGAAGGGAAATATTAAAAAATGAGTCATAGTAATATGTAATCAATTTATTTAATCTCCCTGTGTATTGTATTCGAAAAAAGTATTTATATACCCTCAATACCTCACCTCTTTTTTTTCATCGTCTTTTTTTCCATCAACTACAATATTATATATACACAATATATACTTTCGTCGTCTTTTTTTTTCGAGGTCTATCTTCTCTCTGCCTAGGCTTCTCTTTATTAGGTCTTCTATCTCTTAGGCCTTTTCTCTACGCCTTCCTTTAGGTATGTGGGTTGAGAGTGTGGAAGTGTGGAGTGTGGGTTTTGTGTGTGGTGTTTTTATCTTATTTTTTTTTCGTCATTTTTTTTAGGTCTATCTTCTCTCTGTCTAGGTCTTCTCTTATTAGATTTTCTTTTAGACTCTTTTTTTCATTTCGTCATCTTTTTTTTCTCTTCGTCGTCTTTTTTCTTTTGTATCGTTGTCTTTTTTTTTCGTCATCTTTTTTTTAGGTTTATCTTCTCTCTGTCTAGGTCTTCTCTTTATTGGATCTTCTTTTAGGCCCTTTTCTTTATGTCTTTCTTTAGGTATGTGGGTTGGAAGTGTGGGTGTGGGTTGGGAGTGTGGAGTGTGGGAGTGTGTGTGGGTGTGGAGTGTGGAAGTGGGAGTGTGGGTTGGGAGTGTGGGTGTGGGAGTGTGGGAGTGGGTGTGGGAGTGTGGTGTGTGTGTGAGTGTGGGAGTGCGGGTTGGGAGTGTGGAAGTGGGAGTGTGGGTTGGGAGTGTGGGATTGTGGGTGTGGGAGTGTGGGAGTGTGTGTGGGTGTGGGAGTGCGAGAGTGTGGGTTTGTGTGAGTGATTTTTTGGATGGAGTAGGGACTTTGAAAATCTTTTGGCAATTCATAAAAAAAAAAAAAAAATCACGAATTAATAATATTGTGTAGCTTGCTTTATATAATCATGATTAGCACTAGTAGTAGAAGGTAGTAGTGTTAAGTTTGTACTATATTTTATCTATAAAAATTATGGGATAGCGTAAACTATGTAAAATAAATTGGTTAATTATACAACATTTGGAATATAGTAATATACAAGAAATTCAGTAAATAGAGAAGTTATTTTATTATATTTAATTACTTCACGAAATCTTACTAATGAATTTCTGAACAAGATATGTAAGTTTTCTATAAATTTAATTTTAAATATTTTCTAAATCAATTTTTAAAATTGTTTGTGATAATATGTTAATAAATATGTAAATTTAGAATATAAATGATGTAAAAAAGTTATTTGAATGAAATTTTACAAACTGGACCAGTAATAATAAATAAATTGATAGATTAATTGAAGAAATGCAATTAAAATTAGTTGAACATAAAGATATACAATTAAATGAATCAATGGTTTTAAAATGTTTTAAATGATTCTCAGAATATTTCCAGTAATTTTCTAAATGAGGTATGTACTGTAAATATTTAACTATTTGAACACTTTTCTTAAATATTATAATTAACTTGGTTTCTTTCTTTAGGTTAAAACATATTCAATTGATAATTATAATAACTTTGATAATTCCTGATGGAATTCTAAAAATATATGGTATATCAGCGGGGACCCTGAGCAATATATATATAGGTGTCAAAAATTTTATAATAGCTTCTACACAAAGGTTTTTATTAAGATAAATAAGCAAATTCAACATGTATCTTCACGAATTTCCAAAAAATAAATCATGAACTTATTAAAATTTTTAGTATGAAATTGATAATTTCCAATTATTGTCATTTTATTTTTCATTTTATCAATTATCTCGCGATAAACAATTTAACATTTTATCATATTTTCAATAATGTCATTCAAATCATCATATTTCTTTCATTCCCTATTAGTTTTAGTATATTACCATCAATTAAACTTTTGTTTCTGAAAGAAATTCATCAAAAACGGATGGTTCATCGTGATTTTCATCCAGGAAATATATTATTTAAGGATACTTATCATTGGGCTACGCCAAACCATATTTCAGATATGGGATGGAAAATTTATCAAAGTACATGGATAATAAATACTGATTGCTTAGACTGTGCGATCTAAGGTAAGATACGAAATAGATGATGAAGATCATGCAGGAAATTTATTTTTTTTACTATTTTGCATTGTTTCTTTGTTGAGATAATTATCTATTAATATAGTTATTATACTAAAAAAATATAATATTCTAAATTACTTTTATTGATAATTTTGCTTTTGATTAATCGGTAAGTAAAAATTATAATAGTGGATTAAAAGAATTATTCTGAGTCATTTCAATAATGTATTCATAATTATTGACCTAATTATTTACTAATCATGAAACAAGATAATATCGTGTGATTATGTTTAAACAGGTGTTTCGTGATGATTAGATTTCATTTATTTAAGTAACCTTTGTGAAGTTATATACTGTACAGTAGGTTTCATGTGATGCCCGTATTTCTAGTTAATTTAAATATTTTCTTTTCTTTTCTCCTAGAAATTCTTAATTTTTTTTTTTAGTTTTATTTTTTGTTTAATATTTTTTAATATATTTTAAAATAAATAAAAATACAGAATATCTTATATATTTATAAGTGTTTTTTTTTTTTGAAAAGAAATTTAAACGTTCAAATCATTATTTTTCTAGATGTTAATGTTTTTAAATTTTGATTTTATTTCATTTAATTTTGATTTCTTAAATTTGTAAAAACAATTATAAAGTATGAAAAAATTATGAAAATATCGTAATAATGTTCATCAGGTTAGGTAATATCCATGGTTTTAGAAAAAATTACATAATTTTCATAGTGTAAAAAATATAAATATTTCAAATTTATTTAATCAAACTTAAATTTACATTATATATTATGCTCGCGCAAGATCTTTTATTTTATTACGTTCGCACAAATCTTTTTTAGTAAAAACGAGAAGTAATGGTATAAAAATATGAATGTGATCTTTGAAGTTTATAAAACTTATAATTTACAGGTTCCATTATATTGTCTCCAAGTCTTAGTGACACCTTCAGTAAAATCATCCGATAAAGCAGCTTTGATGGTTTCTCGTGGTCCAAAAATTCAGATCATCTACCAGAAATGTGCAATCAAAAAGCAACTTTTTGTCATTAGCAATAATTGTGCTGACTATACTACAAATTAAAAGCAATATTAAAGTTTTTTGTTAAATCTTTATTAAACAATAAAAAATTTTCTTTTTTAGTAATATTTACATCTTAAAAACTATATATTAATAACTTAATATATTTTCGATAAATTAAACTTCAATAGTGATTTTTTTTTTAAAAAAAAGAGTTGTGACGCCATTATCTCCAAGTTTCCAATTCAATCGGGTCGGGTCAAACTGTAACACGACCCGAAACTTTGAAAATCTAAATACTTCTTTTTACAACTCCCTTTGATTTTTACGATTTTATACGCAACATGACGCTAATATTATGAATAATATTATGAATAAACATTTTTACGTGATATTCAATACAAAATGGCGCAAAAAATCCAAAAATATTTAAAATAAAATATTGCTTGCTCTTGGCCAGTTATAAACATACAACTGTTACTCCTGAACACCACGTAGAGGTGGCAAGCTTCGTTCAGGGAAAAAAGAAACCACTTACCTGTAATCTTAATACAACCAGTTTATAATTAATAGGATTAAATAAAAAATAATAATAATATTTGGGTTGTTAAGAACAAAAAATTGAGCAGAGACGTTCGGACATATAGATAAATAATATAATAACTTTCACAACTTGACAAATTCTATATGTAAACTGTGTTTTTTTAGTTATGTTCTGGCCCCAGATACAACTACTTATGCACACATGCATTAAAAACAAGAAAGAAAATTATAAAAGAAAATTATGTACGTAAAATCAAAACAAATAAAACAAATAATGCACATGTGCATCAGAACAAGAAAGAAATTATTTTTGTAAAAATCAAAAATAAGCTTTCTCATTCCCCCATCTAATTATTTGGTTTACATATATACACAATACGTACTATGTACATACATACATAAAATACGTACGTATATATACGTAATGTGGGAAAGTCGTTCGAGCAATAAACACAGGTTTCTCTACTCAATTTTATTAAAAAATTTGTTCAAGTATGGTTTTAACTTTTTTAAAGTTTTTAACGTGGAGTTGGTCGTACCTACGGTTTAAAATGAGGTGTGAAGTTGGTTGTACCTTACCTATTACCATACTTAACAAGAAAAATAAAAGAAAAAGAAAGGCGAGAAGGAATATGAAAGGAGAGAGAGTTAAAGAGAATAAGAGAAAAAAGTGGCTATTTTATATTTTAATCATGTATCACTTAACCATGGTGAGTCATATTATAAACATGTGAACTCCGTAGTATAAAAAATAGATATTAATCAGTAAACATGTGTTTGCAATAATTTCTCACGTAATCTTGTATACGACGTCAAATTTTATATACTATTTTAGTATTTGCTGTGGGCGTTATATCATTACATCATTACATCATTACATCATTACATAACTAACACGAAAAAACCATTTCTGCGTAACTTAAATTATTTTCAAAAATATCATTTATTTTAACATCTAACTAGAGTGATGTACAATAATCAGTAATAATCAGTTTGAATCATATTTCTGCAGTTGTAACGATTTGAACGATTTAGTTGTCTGTTGGCAAAACCCCTAGTAGCTCTAGCATAAAGCCAATTTAAACACAAAATTATAAGAATTATAAGAATAATAAGTATAATATTTCTGGATATCATTATGGGTATCCTTTTAATATTATCAAAAATTTTCTTAAAAATCTTTTGAAACCTAATTAATATCAAGGTAGATAATCTATTATCAATAACTTGAAATACTTCATATTCTTCTATTTCAAAAGTTTCTCTATTGATGATTTTCTTTTCATATGAATGTTGCTTGCTTTTACCAACAATATTATTAATAAAAGATCCTGATGATTTAATATACAAATCTTGTAAACCAAAATATGGTCCCTCATTTTTACTCCAAATGATTGCTTCTTTTTCAAAATTGACTCGACTTAATATAGGATTAAATCGACTTGTTAATGAAAATAAAAAACTATTTGACGTTTCACATTGATAATTTTTATGATTATGAGATCTTTCATCTTCTACCATCTTGGTACGACACCATTCTAATGGATTATAACCACCAATTATCTCTCTTGGGTGACGAACTTTAATTAAAAGAATAGTTGGTCCCTTATTATCGCAATGTTTATGAAATTTATCAGTCCCAAAACCATCCCGACTAGCACGATAAATAAGATTAAATTTAAAAGGTAAATCGTTAAAATGATGAGGTGTTCCATTTTTCTTATCAATCCAACTTGCTATTAAAGCAACATCTGTAGCGTTAATAATCTTGGAATCAAATATATATCTTGGCGGTAAAGCATTGAAAGAAAGTCTGGAAGCAGAATTTGAAAAATATTGAGTAACTTCATCATCGAGATCATCAGGTAAAATATTTTTAAAATCAGTTCTAATCTTCGTGTATTCATCAGGTGACATTTGAAAAAATCGAATATGAGGGATACAATTTTGTAAAGTTTTCTTTAGATCTATGAAATTCAATGGTTTCCATGTTTTTATATCATTATTTAATATAGAATTTGTATTTTTGATTCCCCATTTAATTAAATATTCCCAAATTTTAATTTCTTCTAATTTAAGATAATCACATTTTAAAAGTTGAATAAGATAAGTTTCTTCCATTTTTAAGAAATCATCAGATTCAAAAATAACTCCGGGATTGTTACACACCAAATTTATTGCAGCTTTATATAAATTGACGAAATTATCACATCGTAAAATTTTAATAATATCTTTTGTTTTCCATTCTAATATATTTCCAAGTAAAACTTCCTCAAGTTGTTGATAAAGCTCAAGTAATTCAAGTTCATCAGCGGCAATTATAACATCAATAATAAGACCAATCTCATTATTTTCAATGGAAATTATTCCCGAATAAATATACCTATTAATAATAATTTGATTTTAAAAAATAATAAATTTTTTTTTCTTTTTTTTTTTTTTATTAAATAATGGAAATAAAATACTTACTTTATTAAAACTTGAAATACCAAAGGTGAAATGTTAGGCTTTTTAAAAATAATTATTCCATTTTCTTTTTTTGCCCATCGTAAAGATAAAGCGTTTTTAAAATAATTGGATCTAGAAGCTAAGATTGCTGAATGTAAGTTAAATTCTTTAATATTTTGTTCTTTGCCAACTATAATTTTTGCATTATAATCAATAGGATCTTGAAGTAAATTTAAAAAATCTATGGATAAGGTACGATTCATATTTTACAAATTTTGTAAATAAAAAAATAAAANAGAAAAAAGAAGAGAAGAAAAAAGAAGAGAAGAAAAAAGAAGAGAAGGAAAATAAAGAGAAGGAAAAAGAAAAAAAGGAAAAAGAAAAAGAAAAAGAAAATGGAATTTAGAAATTTTTAATGTATCAAAATGTATCAAATGATCAATATGCAATGTAATCGCAGATCATTGAATTATCACTTGAAAAAACAACAATCTGAACTAAAAAGGAAGTTTTAAGCATGTTACGTGCATTTAAGTGTGATTGATTATAGTTCTGTGATTGTTTGTCTGCGCTTCTATATTATCCGCCCTTTCATGCATGAATGACACTAAATATTTAATACGCAGATCTCTTTTAATATTCATATTTTAAGAAATGGATTATAAAGTCCGAAATATTATTGTTTATTAATTAGTCGGACAATGAGACATTTCATTCCGTTTCAAAACAGACTCCAGGAAGTTTTTACATATAAAATAAATCAACTTGCGAAGAAATAATAGTGCTTTCCGTTTCACTTTGTAGTATATACCAAATTAAAATTTTCATATATCATAATTTCCAAGTATCGGTCGAATTTTTAGGATGTTTATAAAATAAATATTGTTAACTTTTGTTATTTTATCTCTGGAAACTAAAAATCAATTAGCTCGATATTACGAAAAATATTCTACGAGTTTAGAAACTCAAATATAATAAAATTTTATTCCTTACCGGCCGGTAGACTACGTTAATATTCAATTATCATTTGGCATGTCGAGTGATGATCAAAATCCTATTAAAACCTGTTTAAAACTTGTTATGAAAAAACTTACTCGTCGTGATGCCTTGCATATAATTTTTATATTTAGGCTTCTATTAAGTTAAAGTATATTTTTATTAATTTATTTAATTACTTTATAGGAATGTTTAAATTATTAATCAATATATTATTACTTCGTATCTATCTTAAATTATTTAAGTTGTGAAAATAATCGAGTAAAAATACTTTATAACAAAGTATATTAATATTTTTATGTATCTCGTTATTCCTAAGACATCCATCTTTTCCCCCTTAAATCCTATTTTAATTGTTACCTTTAAAATATAACTTCATTACTCCAAACACTTATTCTTAAAAATAATAGTGTAAGACTGTAAGGCGTTACAACTCTTGGGCGGTATGGTAAATCTTTTCCTATTGCTTTAGTGTTGTACGCTGAAAGAAGTCTAGCCTTGTTGCTTGCATCATTTTTTTTTTTGTGGCATAACCTAATGCAGATGAAGCATAGAAACTTATTACCGGTAGTGACTTCGGCTCTCTTTGTATAGAATTAACGGGAGACGATCTATGCGAGAATACGTCAATCAAGTATGATTCTGTATGACTCTGACACAGTCATGGGGCTTGCTGCATGATGCATAGGCGAATTATATTGAACCTATTTCTAGTATAGGAAAATTTGGTCTTATTTAGATTGATGCATGAATTTAATCGGATTTAATCGGGGTATATTATACACAAGCACCGAACATAAGATATTATTTCTAAAGAAATGACAAATTGGAAATGTGTTTATACAATTGATTGATTTAATTTGGATACTACTGCGCAAAATCATCATAATATTTTACCAAAAATAGTAACAAATGAATGAATGATTTGTATGTACTATACCAAAAGAAGTCTGGATTGTTTATGCCCTTTGAAAATCAGATAAAAAAAATCGTGATTTTCATATCTTTAACCGGTAGTAAAAATTTTTTTAAAAAAGTGCGCAGCATGCATTTTTACGATATCTTTTTTACAGTATTTTCAAAAATTAATATATTCTAATAATTTAATAGGTTTTTATTTGTCAGTATTTTTTTTTTTTTACTTATTCGTTAAAAATAAATAAATAAATAAATAAAACTTTAATTGATTATTAATATTTGGACCTTAAAAATTGTACGAATCAGTTTGAACTTTATAGTTAACATATAAAAACGTCGATATTAATCGATATTAACCATATTTTAGATCCCAAGTAACAACAATATGTACAATATGTTCTCCGGTTATTGGGATAACGCTAAAATATTTGAATTCAAAATCAAAGGTTAAATCCTACTAAAAAATACGGGGAAGGAATAATCTTTGGAGTAGTATTTGGGCGTAGAGTATTAAAAATTGCTTGTTTAAGAGTAGCTTAACGTATACGTATACGATATATATCGATAAATTAGACACCCATATTTTTTAAATTACTGTGATTAATGTCGCGAATCATTTTAACGTGTAGTATCAGAACCTTTATATAAAAACCTTTTGAATTTTAATCGATTCCGTCCATTTTGTCACATAGTTTCTGACACTAGAATTTAGAACTGATTAAGATGACTGTTAACCTGTACGATAATTTAACCGGTTAATTAATCCAGTTAAAATATGAGATCATGAAGTTTATGATATTTAGTATAATGAAATTGTAACAGAGAATATAGTTTCTTATATATTTAAAATATATACTTAAGCTAAATTTTCAACAACACTTGTTGAAAAGTTATGTTACGCGGAAACAGTATTTAGATTCAAGATGATCTCGCAATGTAAGTATCTACCGTATACTTGGAGTAATTTAACGACAGATAACTGGATATTGTTTATATCAAAGATCATAATCGATTTAGTTTTTAAGTTTCGTTAGATATGCAACGATATCATCTATACTTATTTCTTTATACTCATTCTTTATCATTTCATCATTTCAATATTTTATTGTATTTTATTATATTATTATTGTACATAATTATTAACTATTTATTAATTTATTAATAAAGTATATATATCCATCATTTGCATATGTATTCGGTATTTCGGTTTTCCGATTTAATCACGTGAAGATACATGAAGTAATTCTGGCCAGAATTAAGAGAAAATTTTCGTATTAATTCCAGTCAAATATTAATGCTGACCAGAAATAAGTTTTAACTGACTTAAAATTTTAGGTGCAGATCTATAGTTGCGTGCTATTATGCAATTCTATTAAATAAATACTATTTTACTTTATTTTATTTTATTTATTTTTGAAAAAAAAAAATCATTATTCCTTTTTATTTTTAGTTATTTATAATAATTGGAAAGATGCGCATCTGTCATTGGTTTTTTATTAATTTCAGTTGCTAATATTTTTTCTTTTAATGTTTATAAACAATAATTTAAGAAATAATTATAATCTTAGTACTATTAATAAATTGATTTTTATTTTTTTTTTGAAATAAATTTGAGAATCTTTTCGTTATCTGCGCCTTGTCACACCTTTTTGAAATCAACTGTATCATTCAAAAAAATAAAATTCTACAAAGTTATAATATTAGATTATTTTTTAAGCAAAAAAAATGGAATAACAAAATACTGTTTTGTTTATTTTGTAAAATAAATACTAAAACTAGGGTTGGATTAGCTCAGTCCGGTCCGGTCCAGTCCCAAAAATCAAAAATTTTTCAGCCTGGACCGGATTGAGCCAGGACTGGACTGATTTGTATTTAAGAAATTTGTCCCCACGATTCATTTAATTAAGGAAAAGGTTTATAGTTAGAAAGATCTTATAATTTATTCTCATCATACAAATTTTTATTAGGTAAGTGAAATATTTCTTTTCCGTTTTTTTTTAATAATAATTTTATGCAATTTTTTTTTATAAAAAAAAATTAGTTTATCATATCATTAAATAACAAATTTACATTTCAAAAAAGATACAAATACAATTTGTCATGTATGTTATTTTTATTACAGTTTCCAAATATGCGTATTAAGAAAACACAAACAATAATTCTCGTCATAATATTACAAAAATAACTATATATCATATTAATTCCTAATTAAATTATAACAAGTAATCGATATTTCTTTTTGGAAAAAATATTAAATTTGAATTTATAGTTTAGTTTATATAATGGATAAATAAATTAAATTCTTGACAATTATGCAAATATTTTTTTTCTTGGGCTTTAAATTTTTCTTTTTTCACCCAATACTTTTTCATATTCAAATACAATGACGTCATCTGGTATAAATCATTTGATTGGGCTAGTTATAATTTTCATGATTATCAGCAGGAAATAAATTTTCAGAAATTGAGCATTCATTAGTCATGATGTTATTGCTTAATAACAAGTTTTTTTTATTTAAATAAAAAAAAAATTCCAAGATTTAAACTTTTTTTAGTGCGACAACCTAGAATGTAACGTGCTATTACTAAATATGTAATTAGAATGAAAAGCATCAAAGTAAAATTTATTCAATAATTATTTATTAAAAGTTATATCATTTAAGGATTTAGATAAAAAAAGTTAAAAATATAAAAATTTAACTAGATTACATCTTGAAGGCTACCGAACTTATATAATACATCAATTTGTCTTTAATTCTCTTTTCACAAATAAATAAAATAAAATAAATAAATATAAACCTTGTGAAATAATTCATTAAATCAATATACGGTATTTATATTACAAACTAAGAATATTGTACTCTAGTCTTAGTGTTTAAATAATACATGATAAATAAATAAGTGACAATAATTTAAAATATAAAAAAAATATTGTTAATTTGATTTATAAAAAGACAATTTAAAATCCATCTAAAGATAAAAAATAGATTAATTATTTGCTTTATAAAGAATTTATTTTTTCTACTTTATTTTAAGAGCTTACCATCAGGAATTTCCAGTTCATCTTGTTCTTTTGAATGAAAGTTTGGATTATTATATACTTCATCATCACCTGTAATAGATAAGTAAATAGAATTAAAACGGTATTAAAATTGTTTGTTATTACATAAAATTTTCACCTACCATCGACATATTTTTGAGTTTTTTCTTTTTCGTCATCTAAATTTTAAATAAAAGTCGCGTTTAATAAATTAAATTGATATAGTAACTTTATTTGTTAATAATTTACTTACTATTTGACTTTATTTGCAACTTTTTAAATAATTTAGATAATTTTTTATTACTATCTAAAAATTAAGATATAGATTTAATATATAAATCAATCTCGATTTGACAATAATTAAAATATATTACCTCTAAAAATAGTAATTACTTTTGATGATTTGCTACTATTCTGCTCATTTGATTTATTAAAGTCTTCAACTAAAAAAAGATAAATTAATCATTATATGATAATTCAACGCTATAATGTTATTTAAATACTTACTATTGTCAGGAATGTTAAAATCATACAATTTACTATGAAACACTATTAGTAGTAAAATAAAGTATTTAAAAATTAAATTATTATAGTAACCAAAAAATGGTAGAAATTATTGTTTATACGGTTATACCTTCTTGTTCTTCTGTTATAATAAAAAGATAACATTAATAATGCATTTTAAAATAATATATTCATTAATAAAATATTATACACTTATATATACCTTCTGTTGCATTTCTTGGTTCAGGTAGATTTCCAAAGTTGTGAATTTTACTTGTAAATAATCTGCTACTCGTATAATTTTCTTCTACTTTATTCATTTCTAAATTATCCATTTCTGATTTGAATAATTCATCTGTCATATTTTGAAAATATAAATTAAGTTCATTCACTTTAATTGCAAGTGCATAAGCGTCAGGTCTTTTTAATGGATCAACATCCCAACATTCTTTCATTAAATTTTTATATTCTAATGGAGTTCCTGGCACAATTCTTGGCCTTATACCGTTAATAATATTCATTACAATGTCATTTTCATGTTCATAATTTATAAATGGTGTTTGTCCAGATGAAATTTCCCACATAAGAATTGCAATACTATAAATATCAGATGCAAAAGTATATTCTCTTCCAACAATAACTTCGGGTGCTATGTATGGAAGATTTCCATATATACTTGTTGAAGATTTATCAGCAGGTCCACAAAATCCAAGATCACTAATACACCAGGAATTATTATATTGTAAATATAATATATTTCCAGAATGCAAATCTCTATGAATTGCTTTCTCTTTATGAATATAATAAAGTGCAGCAGTTATTTCTTCAATAATTTTCATTCTATCTTTCCATGTAAGTTGATTATGATTTTGTTGTAAATATTTTCTTAAATCCATATCCATTTTATACATTACAAGCATATAATTTCCATTTGATGGATTTTGCGTTAAACCATAACATCGAACAACATCTGCCCATTTATTACTTATAGTTAAATGCGATTTAGCCTAAAAGATAATATTGTAAAAATACTAGTGCTAATACAAAAATTACAACAATTTTATAAAATATAGAATACAATAATACAAACCTCTTCAATCCAACTTTGATTTGCACTTTCAACATTTTCTAACGCTTTAAGTATTACTTCTACCACTATGTTTTGTATTCCAGGTCTTTCAATTCTTTTTAATTGTTTTTTTTCAGAATCCCATTCTTCATACGCTCCGTCAATCCAATCTGCTGTATAAATTTCAGAAAATCCACCTTTCGTTAAATATTTAATATTTTTTAAATTACTATATGGGATCCATTCAACTATTACATTTGGTCTAGTTGTTTCCAATTGACATTTCTGTATTAAATTATCAATATCATCATTTCCAGATGTCCAATTTGAAAAATCTTCTTTTAAATAATTTCGAACACAAAATTCACAATATAATGTGGCCAAACATTCTTGCTTACAATTTTCACAAATTCTTTTTGTTCCTGAATTAAAAATAACTTTAAATAGATCATAATATTTAGTTAAAAAACTTATTGCAAAAGTTTTTTCATCATTTGTAAGAATTTTATCAGCAAGGACTGTTTGTTTTTGAAATTCAAATTGTTTGTGTATATCATTGTAAATATTAGTATCTGTTAATGTAAATGCTCTATTAATTGTTGTATAAATTAATTCTTTTCGAAGGGTGGACATAATGTAATCAATAAGAAAGGATGAATGAATTATTTTAAGTTCATTCACTTGATAAATTAGTAAAATGCAAATTGTTGATCAAAATTTCATGTTGTCTCACATAAATTTTGTGACCTTGAGGCGTAATAATTTTACGCCTCATAACCAAAAAAAGAAAAATATTACTACCATTTACTTATTTAGTATAATTAAATAATTACGTTTTTTTTATTTTTTATTTTTATATTTATATTTTTTTCAGAGAATAATAATTTGCGTTTAACAAATTTGATTGTCATACTTAATGAATAGATAGTATCCTTATTAATATTCAAATAATTTAATCAATGATTGTTATTCAATTGATGAAAAGCAAATTTTCTTTTATTTTTGTTCAGACATATTTTTTGTTATATAGATGAAGTTTAAAAAAAATTACCAAAATTTACTTGGTTTTTTTATGCATTATTTTCATTCTATTATTAAATTAAATTATGTTACAATAAATTTGGTAATAAAAAAAAAAAAAAAAAAAAAAAAAATTCTTTTTTACATAGTGTTTAATTTTACTATAATAGTAGGACTGAAAAATATATTTAATACTAGGACCTAATTTTGTAATAAATAGACTTGCTATATAATTTTCCAGTAAGTCAAATTAAAAGTGACTTATTGTAAGATTTTTTAATATTCATCTAAAATCTTTTTATAAATGGATGATAACTGATAAGTCGATATAAGTATTGTAAGACCTACGCCCGTGATAATCATAGTCTTAACAAAAATGATATTTTTATTAATAATATAAAATTACGACAAAATAATAAAATGCTTGGTTTAATAATATTTCCTAATAAGATAATTTCTAATAAATGATCGTAAATTCTGTTAATTCCTAATAATTCGTCCCTTTTCATGAGGTCTAAATTTACCCCTATTTACTGTATATTCTAATAAATGATTTTCATAGAAATAAATTCTAAGACCACAAAAATATTTCAGTTCTCCCTTTTTGAAGTCTTCCAATTTTTGATCCCAACAAATTTTGATATTAGTGATGCTTTTTCTTGAAGTGATTCCCAATGTCGTTTTCCACTTTTCATAATTATAAACTTTTCAAAATTCGCAATTCTTGATCTTCATCCTATATCCTTATAAAGTAATATTACGATCCTATTCCCAATCCCTAAAAATAAAAGTGAACACAAGAACTAGCTCAGTTTATACTCGTGATCCCGGAGTTATGATTAGCCCATTTTGATAGTTTAATGTCATTAATACGGACCGCAGAAATAATAATCTTAAACTAAATATAATACTACGCCTCACAACTAACAAATTAGTCACGTTACTCATGCGAAGTGGCAGATGATCACGTGATTAATCGTATGACTATGCAAAATATTGTATCATACTACCTATCAAACCTATCTTTTCATACAATCGTTAAAGAATCTTCACTTAAATTATTGTTTCTACGCCGAAATTAGTTATTCATTCTTAATATATACTACATATACAGTACATGTTTGAAAAAAAAATGTAACAAGACGCAGTTTTTTTAGTAGACACAAAAATCCCTCATGACAACTGTTTTTGAAGATTGGTTTCAGGAAATGTATTTTACTGATTCTGTATCAGGGATGACATTTATAATAAAACATTAATATTTGTGAAGCGTTATAAAAAATCATTACATATCAATAAAAAAATATTAATTGTTAATTTTTGTGATGTATTATTAAAATCATTAATTATTAATAATAAAAATATTCATTAAAACCATTAATTTTTGCAAAGTATTTAATTATTGTAACGTATTTTTTATAAAAGACATTAATTTTTATATATTTTTGCAATTTTTGCGAAATTCTTGATTCATGATCCGACTGATCCGTATATGATTTTATGTCGATCATAAGTAATTTTTTTCAGATGCCCGATTTTCATTCTCTTTATGTGAACCTGTTCAATACTAACATACTGTATTTTAATACATAATATTTATTCTAAAGTTTCAAATAGTTAGTTTTTTATAATAATTTTTTCACATAATTTTACTTTTATTTGACGCCACGGACGCCAGATTCCCATTTAAATATTAAAAATATATTAATTTTTATTTAATTTTTGCGATATATTTTAAAAATTATTACATATTAATAAAAGGATTAATTATTACAAAGTATTACAATAATATTACGACTATAAAAGTAATAATATATCGGGACAATAAGTGTCGGGTTAATGAGTTTTGTGTTGTAACGGGATTCGTCGAGATTTTAAACGACTCCATATTATACATATTGGAGACATTTAATATTAACTTTGGTTGTTATTTTGACCCTAAAAGAAAAATAAATTAAACAAAAAAAAAAATTTTAATGAGAAAAATAATACATTATTATTTGAGTAATTCATTTTCTCATTCTCATTGTCGTTTTTATATTATTAATTGCTATTAGCGTTCAAACTTTCAGCATTTCTCACAGAAATTACTGGCATCTCAGTATTGTTAGGAAGAGGCGTATTGTTAAATGGAGGCGTTTTGTTAGGCTGGGATGTGTTGTTAAATGGGGGCGTGTTGTTAGGTCGGGGTGTGTTGTTGTTGGAAGGTTGTACGTAATTGAAAGGAATTTCAGGCAATTTCTTATCATCGATGGTAATTAAAAAGTCCTCGTTTGATGCAAGAAGTCTCCCAAGTTCCTCTTGTTAATTTATAAAAAATTAAACATAGTCTACTGCCCACATAAATAAAGTAAAAAAAGAATTAAATTCAGTGATCTTTAAATTTAATTATAATCGCTCATAATTTTTTTTTTTAAATTTTACTCTCGTGGAGATCAGCATTTTATTAGAGAAATAATATTTTACGCTTACATATATAATTGTTTTTTTTTGTAACGCATTTCTTTATTAATGATAGATATCCAACTACAGAAATACCTAGAATCATACGTGCAACATGATATGACTCTATAACAAAACATTAATCTATCCTCCCTATAAATTTGTTGTTCATGTGTAATAAATGCCTAAAAAAGCACCATTTTGTTTAATTTTCTTTTTTTTGTAATCGGACAAAATGGTGCTTTTTTAGACACTTATTACACATGAACAACAAATTTAACACATTTCGTTTTTATAGGGCCTAAAAACAAAACAACTATCTCTATCTCTAATACTGGAAGAACAGAATCACAAAAACTACGACTAAAGAAACACTGACTAAGTTTAGACAAAGGTACAAAGGCAAACATGGCCTAGCGTGTAGCCCAACCTTTTTCCACGTCAAAGCCCTGTAATCTCACTCGTCCTACAAAACCAAATAGTTAGTACCAAACCAGAAACCTTTTATCTTGGTTTCTCGAACATTTTTTTCTTGCAAGCAAGAGACTTGAGAAGGTAGTAGGCTATTCAGTACTAGTAAGCATTTGCAAACCTGTATGTTACTGTTGATCATTTTTCCAAAAATTTCAAAAATTCTGTACCGTACAGCCAGTACGGTATCATATGTAGATCAATCATATGTAATGTTATATGATTTTATTCTCAAAATAGGTTTTTCATTACATAAATGTAAATTTATTAATGAGAAACAGCTTATTTTATTGAATTTTAGGTGGTCGGCTGCTTTTTGTTTACTTATGCTTCTGAAAAAACTTGATGGTGGTGTTGTTTTTTTTCCAAAAACTTTGTGTAAAATCCAAAGAATTGATTTATCTATGTTGCGAAAATATTTTTTGATAAAAAGACAAACAACTGGAGTTACTTTTATACCATCCTATTTTCGATTTTTCAAATACATACTTAAAAGGCTTTGTCTAAAACACTCTTCTACTTCTTGTTTGAGTTCTATTTCAGCCCTTACAGTTTTGTGCGCCTTTTAACATTATTGTAGTGCTTCATTATAAAAAGACAAGTCGCAACCGCAACTATTAAATGACATAATTATAAGAAATTTTGACTTATATCGTAAATCAGGAATCACGTGATTCAGATTCACTGCTAATTTAGCCACTCGCATTAGTCTAGTTTTGTATCGTTTTTGTAATTCGGTCTGCTAGCGTTTACTTGTAGTCCAGCTTTTGTCGCATATTTTAAAAATAAAAATAAAATACTAATAAATAATTTGGTTGCGGACCTTTGACATTGATTTTGCTCCATATGACGCGTATCTCCATTCAGAGAAACATCAAAATGCTATTTACGTATCGTCCAGTCAGGACCCAGAAGTTATTTTACTTGCTGAGCATCAGTCTTTCTAAATATAGTCGAGAATGCGACAAACGTTGTCTTCGTAATAACAATAGTGTGATGCAATTGTGTCCAAGCTCCAGTATTTTGCGGGTGTTTCAAAGAAAGTCATCTGTGATATGGCAATGAAATTCAAGCTATTTATAAAAATTCGAGCGATCATATGACATCGAAATTAATCAGGTCAACGCGCAGGATTATGAGTTACGAATTGCGATTTGTGTTGTATATCATAGTAAGGATAGACACAGATCCCACATGCACATTATTATAAATAACGTGGCCAAACACAAGTACACAATTTTATTATTTATTGCAAATCTGGAAATTTAATCCAAGAAATAGGACTGTGTTAAGCGAATAAATTGTATGATGTTTTCAAAGTGGGTCAAGTTTTTTCTTTGTTCTCTCACGTTTCCGAAAAATATCTATAACCAATTTGCTTCTATCACTATAGATTCTCAGCTTTTTCTACACTAGATTTCCGAAATAAATTATCCCACACATATCTATAAAAGTTTTGTCTATTTACAGTACATCACTCCCGCCCATACAACACTAAATAAAATAATAATATTCTAGCAAGAGAACTTCTCCGAGAATAGGAAATTACGAACCTAAGTATAAATTCGGAAGATTTAGCAATGAGGTAAAAAAAATAAGCAATATTTCTGATTTACACTTACTACTATGATCCATTTAATAACATTCAATTCTGTCTCGTATTCATTGCTTAATGCGTTATAATAAAAGTGTTTCGATTTTTTTTTATCGGCAGGAATGATACTACGCCAAATTCCATGGTCAGGCCACGGTTGAGATTTTTTTTTCTCTGAATTTCACTGCGCCGATGAGGCACGTGCTAGAGATCACGATTTCTCGGCGAATATCAAATATGTTAAAAGATCAAGAATAGTAATATGCCCGCTTTGACTTTGAGCATCTATAGAGCCGGAAAAATCGATTAACATTGTGATGATGTTCTTTTAGAAACTAGTCGAGCAACAAAACCAACATACCTTTTATCAATTTGCGACATATACGAGTTCGTTTGATTAATATTATTGATGATGTAAATAATGGTAAGTTTGATTGTTCGTTTGTTATTTTTTCACCTTACTTGCACAAGATAGATAAAGAGTTCACTAATCAGGGTCTCACCTTTTTATATAATTTGCAGGGTCAATTTTGGAATACACTTTAGGGAAGATTACGTTAATATGATCGCATCATGAAAATCTGATCAATGGATTTATACCACAAAGATCTATACGTAAAACTTTGAGTATATGCAAGAAAGTTCGAGAATAAATTACGCTTTCCTGGGATACAACGTTACTGCGCATTAATTATCAAATTCAGATTGCATATTCGATTACAACTAGGACGTGATCTATTTTATTCAGGTGGGACTTTAGGTCTCACTTTTTTATCACCATACATCTCTATATCCCACAAAAAATATTCTTAATACAATGTATAGCCTTTTCGGATGAATTATTTATTGATGTAGTAAATAAATTACATGATTCGCTCATAGCCGTGATACGACGGCCGAAAGGCGCCTTGCAAATTTTCTACACTAATATACATGATTATTGACTATAGATTATACCGTCACATATATCTCTATTTTTTTTTGCCGGACTTCATTATACAGTATGTTGATCTTATAACGCTAGTTGGGTGGTCAGTCAACCAATTGTGTGGTAACATAAAATAATGAAAAATGTAAACTGAAAAGATTCGAAGCAATAAAAGCCGATTTAAATTCTTGAAGTAGAGTTCTCTTTATTGCATTTCTTTCCGCTTATCCCTATAAATTAGCATTGAAACCTTATGTTAGTTCTAGCTCATTCACTTCAGGCCATAATAGTGAATACCAAAATGGTATTGTGAACAGTGACCATTTTGACAAGTGGTTGTACACCATAACCCAACTACCTTAGGGATAAGTATACATTTCGGGAGTGACTATATATATCATGGTATCCTTCACCACCATCTATATTCTCTATTATGACCATCAGATCCTTTGCAAGAGTGACTCCAGAGCACTTGGCAGCCAACTACTATATCTTCAAGACGGTGAATTTGAACCTGATGACTTATATTCAGGTACCTTAACCAAGGCTCCACTTTTAAAGATATAACCTTGGGGTACGATGGGCCCCAGTCATCTATTTGCAACCCTTTAAAGCCGTTCGGTCAGCCCTCATAAACCTTCGCACGTTGCTTTCGCGGTGTGCAGTCAAGGATTATGGTCAGTGGGTGATAGAATACTCTTTACCCACCTCTTAAAAATTCCAGTAAACAGTAACATTTATTAGACATTAGATTTTAACGTTTAATTTCTTCATAGGTCGGAGGCGACGTTATTACCCATAAAGTCTTTTGTTGTTCGTATGGACCGTCCCCGTCATCTTTTTTTTTGTTAGGAGAGTTTAGAACTTGGAAACTATTGCTTTTTTGTTAGGAGAGTTTTTTATTAGGTAGTGATTTTTTTTGTTGAGAAGGTGTACTTTTTTATATTATTTTCTTATCACATGATATAAGTCTGACTAATAGTTTGTTTGACATATGAGTCATCTTTACTAACTCTGATTTAGAGAAATCATTGCGTCACGTAGTAAGTTTTTTTTTTCTTTAAAAGTAAATTCAAACAATAGTAAATTTCCATATCGGTTAGTCTACAATCATTATTTTTGCCTTAAATATAGCGGAGTGTCAAATTATCTGAAATACAAATATGCATGATCACACGATAAATATAATCAATTTAAATTAAATGTAAGAAAATTTATTATCTGAAAATAGATGATAATTACCAAAAAAAACTCAGCCCTATCAGCCTCAAAATTTACCCGTGAAATAAAATATAATATCTAACAACCAAAGAAAATAAAGAATAAAACAATAACAAAAAAAAAAATAATTAAGAAATAACAAAATAATAATAATAACAAGGAAAACCACGTGAATTAGGAAATAATTCAACAAATAATGAAATTATTCAAAATATTAGATAAGGAATTTATCATAAGATTTTCTACGAGACATTAAGCAAGGATTAAAATAAAATATAAGAACAAAAGTAATGTTATCATTGGTCAGAAATAATAATTTTAAGATGGTATTAGTGGTAGTTAAAATGATATATTTATTTTATTAACATTGTTTATTCTCAACATCTTACAAGAGAAGGATTCCTAAAATTCCGGTGATGATGAGACATTGATCGGACCATTTTGTATAGGATCAAATGATCAATAAATTGTTTATCATGTGATAAATAATGCCTATACGTGATATTTTTTATATTACAATTCCTCATTTTTTTAATTGAATTATTTAAAAAAACTTCAAAGTATACGAAAATAATAAAGATATTTGAAATTACAAGCTTCTAAAAAAAATAAATTTCAAATCAAGAGATATTGTAATTATAATAAAACTTTAAAACAAAAGTTTTTTTAAAATGTTATACAAGTAATAATAATATTACTAGTATAAAGTAATTTATGGACCAAATTTTAAATCAATTAAATGTATAAATTAAGCCTCTTAGTTAATAATTATAATTAATTATTAAAGTAAAAAGTCATATAATAGATTGTTAACATTTGTATAATATAATTTCAATTCTTCTCAACATTAAGGTGGTCGGCCAAATTAAATAAATACTGAATATATAAATAAAAGATTCAAATAATTGAAGTATTTGTAAAAAGATGATTATGGAAAAAAGTTCCTGGATTCCTGGTGGCAGTCCTAACCTATACCGATTTCTATCCTTGGTCTTCATTAAGGTTGAAAGGCAACTTTGTCTTATTGAATTTTTGGTATCAATGTATGAGTGCAATATACGTAGTCTAGGCACTAAAAAACTCAGCAAGAATGGTATCCACTACGAAGATGGTAGTCAGTCATTGAAAAAACATCTCTTTCAACAAATTTTTTTAAGAATAAAAGTTTTTCATACGCCATTTAAATCTCTTAAAGACAACTCTCTTGAAATTTTACATCATATCGTAAATCGTTATACGGTAAAAAGAATATTACCTACTTTAAAGCATATGCAGCAATAAATTATTATGATATACTTAATAAAATCGGTGGCTTGTGTTAGTTTGTGTCTGTCTCCTATTATAATTATAAGTTGTATTATAATTATTCATATGAATAAAAAGATGTATATGAATGTAAATACATCATGATTAGGTAATTAAAAGCTACAATATAACTATACGTATTGATATTGTTGAGTAATTGATTTAATTGATTGCAGATATTGATATCATTTATACTTTTTCTATGATCATTGTACAACAAAAAAAATAATATTTATACGGTTCTTTTCTTTTTTTTTTTAATACATATCTCTCCTCCATCTCTTTCATTCCTCCTTCAAACTCAACTAAATACTTTTTTTATAAATACTTTCTTTTCAAATAAATATCTAACAAATACCTTTTTATCACACGCAAATAAATATCTTTTTTTTCACGCGAAAATAAATACAATAAATACCTTTTTTTTTCACGCACAAGTGAATACCTTTTTTTCACGCGTAAGTAAATATCTTTTTTCACGCGCAAGAGAAATGCCTTTTTTTTTTACGCGCAAATAAATACCTTTTTTCACGCGCAAGTAAATACCTTTTTTTTCACACGCAAGTAAACACCTTTTTTAACATTAAGAACTGTATTTACTGCCTTTGGACAACATATGGGTAATGAGTTTCATTGGCTATTAAAAACTTGTTTGTAAGTGAAAAACCATTCAAACTACTCTTGTGACGTTTTGTGGTTCTTGTACCTACTGTATTTACGGTACTATTTTATTAGTTATCATTCTTCCTTTGGTTACGCATCGCAAATATTCACTTGTTTTCACTTCTCAATAGAGCTTGTATAGGAAGTAATGAATACTCAAAATACCGCTGAACTTACCGCTTCAGAAAACTCTTCTCTTGAAACCTCTATTCACGCTCCAGCTTCTGGTTTCATTTCTTCTCATTCTCCTGCAGATCCCTCTTCTACTACTAGAGCTCCTTCGATAGGGGACAAGCTAACACTAAATGAGGCTAGGTCATATCATTAAGTGGTAAGTATAATTATAATAGTTCGCCGGATGGACGTATGTGTAGGTGTAACACTGCAGGGTTCACTGAAAGTCTTCCGGATGGTGAACTGGTATAATTGACATAGGGGTTTATGTGCTCGTAGTACGTACCATTTGCTACAGGCTAGTAGCTATCTGATTTTGTGCACAAAGTCATAGCTACAATGATGCCATATAGGTGATCCCCAAGCTGATCCATATGGAAGGGAAGGCCAGGTTCCCGTTGGAAATGACACATATCTCCTATGCCATGTCACTTACTTAGTAATTGTTATTGAATACTATATGAGTCCATTTACCATAGATCCTATGATGGCCACATGGGTGTCCTGGGGTTCCCTGCTTAGGCATAATTAACAGGGTGGTAAACCTCATATGGTATAAGGTGATAGTGACTAAAAAATTTTGTAAATTTTGTAGGGCATGTATCAATTAATTTTTTCTTTTAAATAGGTGTCTTAACGTTGGCGTCAGGTGAAATTCTTACTTCTTATGCACAGTTGAAGATGTGAACTGGGATATAGATTTTTACTCCCATAGACAAATAGAACTTTTCAATTATAGAGTTTTTCTTCTCTTTCTAGTTTTATTCTTATTTTTTCTTATCATATTCACTCGCAAAAATGTGGTTTGATTAATTTAATATTTAATAAATTTAGCTTAGTTCGACTAACTTTTTTTACGCTATTCAGTGACTCATATGATTGGATAAAGGGTTTCTTTACGCGGTTAAAAAGTATTAGTACCGTAAAATTTGCATGTATGGTTAAAATATTTCATCAGCCATAAAAAAAAAGCTGTTTATTATTGTTATTTTATTAATTTATAAAATATATAAATTAAAAATAACCAAAATTTGAAAAAAGACTTGAACACTAAATTATGATTTCTGACTATATTAGTAATTTGGCCACGAATTTAAATCTTTCATTATAGTTGTAAATAATATCAAAAGATTTTTTACAATCAAATTCTTTTCTGATGAAGCTGAATTCGAAATTGACCAGGGTAATACAACGATACTACTGAGTACTGAATAAAGCTTTGATGGTAAATTATCCCATGTTGATACTTCTGGATACTTTGTACCGTGCACAAGTTCTTTTATTCATATCTAAGTGGACAGTAATTTTTGTACCATCTCCGAATGATGGGCAATAATTTCCTATATTAACTCCAGAACTACGACAATTACCATTGAACCTAATACCCATCCAGAAGATTGTTTTCCTGCAGGAATTTCATAATTAAAATTTTCTGATGCACATACCCCAACCCAAGACCAACTACAATCTCTTTCAATAATAACATCCCATTCAAAAATATAATTATTTTCTAATTTCATTTTAGCTCTAACACTGTGGAGTAAATCAAGATCATTTCGTGCATGAATAACTTTTCCATTATCCTCAATAATAAGTTTTGATCCACATGCTGTATAATTGAAATAAATGGGTATAATTTCTACCGGAATTAATTGATTTTGTATTATATCGATATACATTTAGAATAATTTTAGTTAGAACAATTTCTAGTGGCTCAAGCTCAATAATATCAACTAATACTTGAACTTGAATTCGTCTGAAATCAATAAATTCAATTAAAGGTTCCAATTCTTTAGCAATTTTTTGATGATCAGCAATAATTTTATTTTCTACTTGTACAGAGTTTTCTATTTGTTCTAAGGTCGGTAACCGTTCTATAAGAGCTTTAAATGCATCATTAGAAGTTTGTTTATATATAAAAGGCAATTTCTATTTGTACACGGGGTGTTTGAACCCGGGTCATGTGATTATTGCCATTTTGACTAATAGTATAAACTTCAAAATTAGTAGATAAATGGATTTTTGCCTGCTCTACAAGTTTACCTAAGGCATCAAAGGTGCTTATGAATGTCAGTTTTGACTTTACATATGAATAATTGATTTTGCCGATCGCTCTTAAAAAAATTTAGGAAATGATCGGCAAAGACAGTTTTTCATATATAAGTCAAAAACGGCATTCAAAACCCCCTTTGATGCCTTAAGTAAACTTGCAGAGCAGTCAAAAATACATATATTACATAGAAAAAGTAAAAGGGTGTGACATTGGTGTCATTATATTTCACATGACCCGTGTTCAAACACCCCGTGTAAACTTTGAAATTTTCTATATAAAATATGCTGAACCACTTTCTTAATAACTTTCGGGTCAGCTCTATGCATTATGTATGTGGCATCTAAATTAGACTAAATATATTTTAATAATTAATCCAATAAAAAGGTATAGGACCAACGATTCAGAAAAAAATTTGTCCTAACCATTTTTGTTTAGAAAATTAAAAATAAACTAATTAATTTAGAAATGAATGTAAAAAGCTCAAAAATCCAATTTCCAAAAAAGCCTATTACCGAAGCACCTGCTGTAAAAAACACCTGCCACGATTAGGCGCTACCTGCCGCAACACCTCTGTACCTGCTGCTGCCGTAAAATGTGGCACACGTTTGTCAAGCACGGTTCAGTCGGCTTACCATAATATATCATTATGGTTATGGATAAGAAATAATAAAACATGCCTATTTACAATTAGAAGAATTTTTTGAAATTTTTTCAAATTTAATTAATATACAAAAATTAGAATTACGTAATAGCACATGGGCCAATCTAAATTTAGGATTCATTTATTGTAACTTTTAACATCTATTTTTATCAAAAATAGATTTTATTTATTTATTTAACTTTTATTATTTTTTAAGCATATGTTACCCAGAAAATTTTTTTTAAAAAAAATCTTTTTTTTAATATTATTTGAGTATAACAGGATTCTTAGTTTATAATATATAATCATTTATTATACTATGTATCGTCAAATTTCTGAGAACATAAAAAAATTACTATTGAATGTAATTATTATAATTATATTAGTATAACGATTTTTGTATACCTATGTAAAGTTTTATTTGTGAAAATATTCAATTAATACCCATTTGTCTACCAATTTCATTAAAGAACGTGCTGATAAAAAATGCTTCTTTTAATTTTAAAATTTTTCAAAATTAAGCTTGTTTATTTTTACGTTAACAATTTTTTTTATTTATGTCTACTACCGTATACTAAAACATAGTGAAATTCAACACATCGCAATCTGTTTCAATAGAAAATTTTTTTAAGAATTTGGGTATGATGCAGATCAGTGCATCGGAAAAAATATGACCCGAAAAAAATTCATTTTTTCACCCCAGCCAAATGATCGGCATAGTTTCTAAGCTAAGTGGGCGTGCACTACATCCTAGCTTATAAACTGCCCATGGGCCAGATTAGCCCACGAGATCTGATTGGTCCAAACAACTTACCAACATTTAATTACAAATAAGGCAATTTTATAACTTTTGACCGGATATTTACTTATAAACTCATGGTCAAGGATTGCATTAATGTACATTTTGTACCACCTTGTAACTATAAAAAAGGCAAAAATTTTTTCAAGGTTACACATTAATTTGGCCNAAATAGTTTAGCGCTATGTTATTATGATGGAAAAGGAACAGAAAAGAATTTAAAAAAAGCCTTTCATTGGCATCAAAAAGCAGCAGAAAATGGTGATGAAGTAGCAATGTTTAATTTAGCTAATAGTTATTATAATGGAAAAGGAACAGGAAAGAATTATGAAAAAGCCTTTCATTGGTATCAAAAAGCAGCAGAAAATGGTAATGAAGTAGCAATGTTTAATTTATCCAATAGCTATTATAATGGAGAAGGAACAGAAAAGAATTTAGAAAAAGCCTTTTATTGGTATTAAAAAGCAGCAGAAAATGGTGATGAAGTAGCAATGAATAATTTAGCCAATAGTTATTATCATGGAGAAGGAACAGAAAATAATTATAAAAAAGCCTTTCATTGGTATCAAAAAGCAGCAGAAAATGGTAATGAAGTAGCAATGTTTAATTTAGCAAATAGTTATTATTATGGAGAAGGTACAGGAAATAGTTATGAAAAAGCTTTTTATTGGTATCAAAAAGCAGCAGAAAAGGATCATATTAAAGCAATAAATAGTTTAGCGCTATGTTATTATGATGGAAAAGGAACAGAAAAGAATTTAAAAAAAGCCTTTCATTGGCATCAAAAAGCAGCAGAAAATGGTGATGAAGTAGCAATGTTTAATTTAGCTAATAGTTATTATAATGGAAAAGGAACAGGAAAGAATTATGAAAAAGCCTTTCATTGGTATCAAAAAGCAGCAGAAAATGGTAATGAAGTAGCAATGTTTAATTTATCCAATAGCTATTATAATGGAGAAGGAACAGAAAAGAATTTAGAAAAAGCCTTTTATTGGTATTAAAAAGCAGCAGAAAATGGTGATGAAGTAGCAATGAATAATTTAGCCAATAGTTATTATCATGGAGAAGGAACAGAAAATAATTATAAAAAAGCCTTTCATTGGTATCAAAAAGCAGCAGAAAATGGTAATGAAGTAGCAATGTTTAATTTAGCAAATAGTTATTATTATGGAGAAGGTACAGGAAATAGTTATGAAAAAGCTTTTTATTGGTATCAAAAAGCAGCAGAAAAGGATCATATTAAAGCAATAAATAGTTTAGCGCTATGTTATTATGATGGAAAAGGAACAGAAAAGAATTTAAAAAAAGCCTTTCATTGGCATCAAAAAGCAGCAGAAAATGGTGATGAAGTAGCAATGTTTAATTTAGCTAATAGTTATTATAATGGAAAAGGAACAGGAAAGAATTATGAAAAAGCCTTTCATTGGTATCAAAAAGCAGCAGAAAATGGTAATGAAGTAGCAATGTTTAATTTATCCAATAGCTATTATAATGGAGAAGGAACAGAAAAGAATTTAGAAAAAGCCTTTTATTGGTATTAAAAAGCAGCAGAAAATGGTGATGAAGTAGCAATGAATAATTTAGCCAATAGTTATTATCATGGAGAAGGAACAGAAAATAATTATAAAAAAGCCTTTCATTGGTATCAAAAAGCAGCAGAAAATGGTAATGAAGTAGCAATGTTTAATTTAGCAAATAGTTATTATTATGGAGAAGGTACAGGAAATAGTTATGAAAAAGCTTTTTATTGGTATCAAAAAGCAGCAGAAAAGGATCATATTAAAGCAATAAATAGTTTAGCGCTATGTTATTATGATGGAAAAGGAACAGAAAAGAATTTAAAAAAAGCCTTTCATTGGCATCAAAAAGCAGCAGAAAATGGTGATGAAGTAGCAATGTTTAATTTAGCTAATAGTTATTATAATGGAAAAGGAACAGGAAAGAATTATGAAAAAGCCTTTCATTGGTATCAAAAAGCAGCAGAAAATGGTAATGAAGTAGCAATGTTTAATTTATCCAATAGCTATTATAATGGAGAAGGAACAGAAAAGAATTTAGAAAAAGCCTTTTATTGGTATTAAAAAGCAGCAGAAAATGGTGATGAAGTAGCAATGAATAATTTAGCCAATAGTTATTATCATGGAGAAGGAACAGAAAATAATTATAAAAAAGCCTTTCATTGGTATCAAAAAGCAGCAGAAAATGGTAATGAAGTAGCAATGTTTAATTTAGCAAATAGTTATTATTATGGAGAAGGTACAGGAAATAGTTATGAAAAAGCTTTTTATTGGTATCAAAAAGCAGCAGAAAAGGATCATATTAAAGCAATAAATAGTTTAGCGCTATGTTATTATGATGGAAAAGGAACAGAAAAGAATTTAAAAAAAGCCTTTCATTGGCATCAAAAAGCAGCAGAAAATGGTGATGAAGTAGCAATGTTTAATTTAGCTAATAGTTATTATAATGGAAAAGGAACAGGAAAGAATTATGAAAAAGCCTTTCATTGGTATCAAAAAGCAGCAGAAAATGGTAATGAAGTAGCAATGTTTAATTTATCCAATAGCTATTATAATGGAGAAGGAACAGAAAAGAATTTAGAAAAAGCCTTTTATTGGTATTAAAAAGCAGCAGAAAATGGTGATGAAGTAGCAATGAATAATTTAGCCAATAGTTATTATCATGGAGAAGGAACAGAAAATAATTATAAAAAAGCCTTTCATTGGTATCAAAAAGCAGCAGAAAATGGTAATGAAGTAGCAATGTTTAATTTAGCAAATAGTTATTATTATGGAGAAGGTACAGGAAATAGTTATGAAAAAGCTTTTTATTGGTATCAAAAAGCAGCAGAAAAGGATCATATTAAAGCAATAAATAGTTTAGCGCTATGTTATTATGATGGAAAAGGAACAGAAAAGAATTTAAAAAAAGCCTTTCATTGGCATCAAAAAGCAGCAGAAAATGGTGATGAAGTAGCAATGTTTAATTTAGCTAATAGTTATTATAATGGAAAAGGAACAGGAAAGAATTATGAAAAAGCCTTTCATTGGTATCAAAAAGCAGCAGAAAATGGTAATGAAGTAGCAATGTTTAATTTATCCAATAGCTATTATAATGGAGAAGGAACAGAAAAGAATTTAGAAAAAGCCTTTTATTGGTATTAAAAAGCAGCAGAAAATGGTGATGAAGTAGCAATGAATAATTTAGCCAATAGTTATTATCATGGAGAAGGAACAGAAAATAATTATAAAAAAGCCTTTCATTGGTATCAAAAAGCAGCAGAAAATGGTAATGAAGTAGCAATGTTTAATTTAGCAAATAGTTATTATTATGGAGAAGGTACAGGAAATAGTTATGAAAAAGCTTTTTATTGGTATCAAAAAGCAGCAGAAAAGGATCATATTAAAGCAATAAATAGTTTAGCGCTATGTTATTATGATGGAAAAGGAACAGAAAAGAATTTAAAAAAAGCCTTTCATTGGCATCAAAAAGCAGCAGAAAATGGTGATGAAGTAGCAATGTTTAATTTAGCTAATAGTTATTATAATGGAAAAGGAACAGGAAAGAATTATGAAAAAGCCTTTCATTGGTATCAAAAAGCAGCAGAAAATGGTAATGAAGTAGCAATGTTTAATTTATCCAATAGCTATTATAATGGAGAAGGAACAGAAAAGAATTTAGAAAAAGCCTTTTATTGGTATTAAAAAGCAGCAGAAAATGGTGATGAAGTAGCAACTGTCTCTTATACACATCTAGATGTGTATAAGAGACAGATTAAATGTTGGTAAGTTGTTTGGACCAATCAGATCTCGTGGGCTAATCTGGCCCATGGGCAGTTTATAAGCTAGGATGTAGTGCACGCCCACTTAGCTTAGAAACTATGTCGATCATTTGGCTGGGGTGCATTTTTTATAGTAACTTCTACTTTTGGTAAGTATTCTTTTTTAGTAACTCATTTATGGCATATTGAATAAAAAAAAAAAAATTTTTTTTTTTCAATAAAATAAATTTCTAAAATAGCCAAATGGAAATTAAACTTAGTAATTTAAATATCTCAGATAAAGATACAGATATAATAAACATCAAAAATTGTTGTAACCCATTTACTGAAGGATTATGGTGTAAAGAATGTATTGATTATTTAAAAAGATCAGCAGAAAATGATGACAAAGTTGCAATGTTTAATTTAGCCAATAGATATAGAGATGAAGAAGGAACAGAAAAGAATTCAGAAAAAGCCTTTCATTGGTATCAAAAAGCAGCAGAAAAAGATCATATTAAAGCAATGAATAGTTTAGCTCTATGTTATTATGATGGAAAAGGAACAGAAAAGGATTTAGAAAAAGCCTTTCATTGGTATCAAAAAGCAGCGGAAAATGGTGATGAAGTAGCAATGAATAGTTCGGCCATATGTTATTATCATGGAGAAGGAACAGAAAAGAATTATGAAAAAGCCTTTTATTGGTATCAAAAAGCAGCAGAAAATGGTGATGAAAAAGCAATGTATAATTTAACCATATGCTATAAAAATGGAAAAGGAACAGAAAAGGATTTAGAAAAAGCCTTTTGTTGGCATTAAAAAGCAGCAGAAAATGGGTATGAAAAAGCAATGAATAGTTTAGCTATATGTTATTATCATGGAGAAGGAACAGAAAAGAATTATGAAAAAGCCCTTTATTGGTATCAAAAAGCAGCAGAAAATGGTGATGAAAAAGCAATGTATAATTTAACCATATGCTATAAAAATGGAAAAGGAACAGAAAAGGATTTAGAAAAAGCCTTTTGTTGGTATCAAAACGCAGCAGAAAATGGTAATGAAGTAGCAATGTTTAATTTAGCTTATAGTTATTATTATGGAGAAGGAACAGAAAATAGTTATGAAAAAGCTTTTTATTGGTATCAAAAAGCAGCAGAAAATGGTGATAAAAAAGCAATGTTTAATTTAGCTATATGCTATGAAAATGGAAAAGGAACAGAAAAGGATTTAGAAAAAGCAGTTTATTGTTATCAAAAAGCAGCAGAAAATGGTTATGTAAAAGCAATGAATAGTTTGGCCATATGTTATGAAAATGGAGAAGGAACAGAAAAGAATTATGAAAAAGCCTTTAATTGGTATCAAAAAGCAGCAGAAAATGGTGATGAAAAAGCAATGCTTAATTTAGCTATGGTCTATGAAAATGGAGAAGGAACAGAAAAGAATTATGAAACAGCCTTTTATTGGTATCAGAAAGCAGTAGAAAAAGATTATATTAAAGCAATGAATAATTTAGCCAATAGTTATTATAATGGAAAAGGAACAGAAAAGAATTATGAAAAAGCCTTTTATTGGTATCAAAATGCAGCAGAAAAAGATTATATTAAAGCAATGAATAATTTAGCCAATAGTTATTATAATGGAAAAGAAACAGAAAAGAATTATGAAAAAGCCTTTTATTGGTATCAAAAAGCAGCAGAAAATGGTAATAAAGTAGCAATGTTTAATTTGGCAGCTAGTTATAAAAATGGAGAAGGAACAGAAAAGAATTTAGAAAAAGCCTTTTATTGGTATAAAAAAGCAGCAGAAAATGGCGATGAAGTAGCAATGAATAATTTAGCCAATAGTTATTATCATGGAGAAGGAACAGAAAATAATTATAAAAAAGCCTTTCATTGGTATCAAAAAGCAGCAGAAAATGGTAATGAAGTAGCAATGTTTAATTTAGCAAATAGTTATTATTATGGAGAAGGTACAGGAAATAGTTATGAAAAAGCTTTTTATTGGTATCAAAAAGCAGCAGAAAAGGATCATATTAAAGCAATAAATAGTTTAGCGCTATGTTATTATGATGGAAAAGGAACAGAAAAGAATTTAAAAAAAGCCTTTCATTGGCATCAAAAAGCAGCAGAAAATGGTGATGAAGTAGCAATGTTTAATTTAGCTAATAGTTATTATAATGGAAAAGGAACAGGAAAGAATTATGAAAAAGCCTTTCATTGGTATCAAAAAGCAGCAGAAAATGGTAATGAAGTAGCAATGTTTAATTTATCCAATAGCTATTATAATGGAGAAGGAACAGAAAAGAATTTAGAAAAAGCCTTTTATTGGTATTAAAAAGCAGCAGAAAATGGTGATGAAGTAGCAATGAATAATTTAGCCAATAGTTATTATCATGGAGAAGGAACAGAAAATAATTATAAAAAAGCCTTTCATTGGTATCAAAAAGCAACGGAAAATGGTAATGAAGTAGCAATGTTTAATTTAGCTGATAGTTATTATTATGGAGAAGGAACAGAAAATAGTTATGAAAAAGCCTTTCATTGGTATCAAAAAGCAGCAGAAAATGGTTATGAAAAAGCAATGCTTAATTTAGCTATATGCTATGAAAATGGAGAAGGAACAGAAAAGAATTATGAAAAAGCTTTTTATTGGTATCAAAAAGCAGCAGAAAAAGATTATATTAAAGCAATGAATAATTTAGCCAATAGTTATTATGATGGAAAAGGAATAGAAAAGAATTATGAAAAAGCCTTTCATTGGTATCAAAAAGCAGCAGAAAAAGATTATATTAAAGCAATGAATAATTTAGCTGATAGTTATTATTATGGAAAAGGAACAGAAAAGAATTTAGAAAAAGCCTTTTATTGGTATCAAAAAGCAGTAGAAAATGGTGATGAAGTAGCGATGTTTAATTTAGCAACTAGTTATAAAAATGGAGAAGGAACAGAAAAGAATTTAGAAAAAGCCTTTTATTTGTTTCAAAGAGCAGCAGAAAATGGCGAGAAGTATGCAATGAAAGATTTAGCCATATGTTATAAAAATGGAGAAGGAACAGAAAAGAATTTAGGAAAAGCCTTTTATTGGAATCAAAATGCAGCAGAAAATGGGTGTATTAATGCAATGCTTAGTTTAGCCAGTAATTATTATAATGGAAAAGGAACAGAAAAGAATTTAGAAAAAGCCTTTCATTGGTTTCAAAAATCAGCAGAAAATGGTGATGAAGTAGCAATGTTTAATTTATCCAATAGCTATTATAATGGAGAAGGAACAGAAAAGAATTTAGAAAAAGCCTTTCGTTGGTGCCAAAAAGCAGCAGAAAAAGATCATATTAAAGCAATGCTTAATTTAGCCAATTGGTATTATGATGGAGAAGGGACAAAGAAGAATTTAGAAAAAGCTTTTTATTGGTATCAAAAAGTAGCAGAAAATAACGTAAATTCTAAAAATGAAGTTGAATCATGTAATGAATGCATGCAACCATATACTGATTATCAGTGGTGTCAACAATGTAATACTAGACGATTTCAACAAGATTTTTCAAAATGGACTAGTAAAAATGAATTTATTGATAAATTTATTCAAGAAGCACAACAGAATACTAAAAATAGTTATGAAATTTTAGAATGGATACCTTATAATAAATTGTCAAGTATTTATTATTATGATAAAGGAGGATTTGGAGAAATCCATAAAGCTATCTGGTTAGATGGACCTATTTATAGTTGGAATTTTAAACAACAACAATGGAATAGACAAATAGATTATGAGGTTGTTCTTAAAATACTTAATAATTCATCAAGTTTAAATAGTAAATTTCTGGATGAGGTATAGTATTTATTTTAATAGCAAATTTTATTTTCTTTTGCAAAAAATTTAATAATTTTTTTATCGTCTATATAGTGGAAATATCATTATAATTGTCAAAAGAAATCATTTTCAAAATTTATTCAATTCTTTGGAATTACTCAAGATCCAAATAATTTAAATTATATAATTGTAATGAGTTATGCGAAAAAAGGAAGTTTGAGAAAATGTTTACCTGATATAATTAAATTTAAGTGGCAAGATAAGCTACAATTATTGAAAACAATTATATTAGGACTTAAAGTAATTCATGAATCAAATTTAACTCATGGCGATTTTCATGATGGTAATATATTAATGTCAGATAATTACAATGAATTATTTATTATTGATTTAGGATTATGTAAACCTATAAACAATTCACAAGATTCTGGTAATGATGATGATGAAATTTATGGAGTTTTACCTTATATGGCTCCTGAAATATTAAGAAACAAACCCTATACTTCAGCAAGTGATATTTATAGTCTTTCAATGATAATGTGGGAATTTACATCAGGTATTCCCCCATTTAAATATGAAGCACATGATTATGACCTTACCTTGAATATTTGTAAAGGGGAACGTCCTGAAATTATAAAAAATACTCCAAAATGTTATATAGATTTAATGAAAAAATGTTGGGATTCAAATCCCTCAAATAGACCAACCATAGGAATGCTTGAAAATATTGTATCTGGATGGATTAGATGTAATAATGAATATTATGCAATAAACAGGGATGGAGATTATAACTTTGTAGTACATAATATTGATAATCAATTAAAAGATGATATGCTTGAATTTGTAGAAGCAAACAAAACTTTAGCACAAGAACAAGCAAATACTTCTATTATGCAATCTCATCCACAAGCATATTATACAAGTCGCAAATTTACTAAATTTACTGAAATTTTAGCTCAAGAAAAGTCCAAATTCATAGTTCAGGAAATCGTTCAAGAAAAGTCTGAGTGTTTTGAATGTATGGTTGTAGATTAATAATCTTGTTATTTATTGAATTATTTATCAGTTATTATATAGAAAATATTTACATTTTATGTGATTACAATTTTAAAATAAAATAAATATTATTAAATACAAGTATAATAATTATTGAATAATGTTCGTTTATTTAATATTTTTATTTCATTATTTCTTATAATTATAATGATTATGGTACATTTCACCTAAATCTGTTTCACAGAAACTCATTTTTCCAAAGTCATTTCGCTGAAGGGAAGTTTTGGAAGTTTGCAGAAAGACAATTCATCAAGGGCATTTCGCTGAAATTTTAGTGATTGACATATTTCTTTAATTAAAAACAATTTGATACAAAGAAAATAATAAATGTTCAAAGAACAAATTCTCTTTTTTACTTGTTTCAGAAAATTGGGAGAATGATGATATCACTATCTTTTTTAAATCCAAGATCAATAATATTTAACTAAATAGAAATAAAAAAAAAATATTAATTCAAATTAATCTAGTATGGAATTATTAAAAAAAAAAGAAACCCGAACAACCAAGGAATTTATGAAACATGATGATAGAAAAAAAATATTACGTAAAAATTTATTTTTATAATAATGTTACATAATTAATGGTTTATATATATTTAACAAAAGATCATAAAATAATCAATGGTAAACATAGTGCCACATGATTAATATGTGACATAATATTTTTTTTTTATGCTTTTTTTCCGAAAAATTCATTATAAATGTTTGATTTTTCTATTGTTCATTTATTCTCCCATTCTTTCCCCTCTTAAATACATGATGTTAAATATACTTTCAAATTGGTATGGTAAGGCCTAATGTTTTTTAAAAAAATTAAAAGCTCCATGTAACCATTGGTTAAACTACTGAATTAGAAGAAATGGATTAAAAAATAATTTATATGGATAATTTAGAAAAATGAAAATAAGTATGTGAATATATGGAGAATGAAATAAACCTGGACAGGGAGCTTTTGATGTCAACTTTGTAATGTTAAATGATTTTAAAGAATTTTAAAAATTGGACTAATTAAAATAAAGAAATTGATGAATTAATTCAAAATTATAAAATTTTATACTTAACAAAATGTTTTGAATAGATACCTTATAAAATTCCTAAAGATATTACAAGATATTACTGTATTACAAGTTGTAGATTTAGTGATCTGAATGATACATTAGGTGTCGGCCTGTCGGGTATTGAGAATCAGAATTGATAAAAAATTCGTATTTCACGGTTGCATTAAAAGTTTGAATACAACAAAGATGAAATAATTCGAAAGATGAATTTTAAAATATGTAAAGGAATTAAACCAAAATTTTTAAAGATATACCAAAATTATTGTAAATTTGATAATGAAATGTTGGGATGCTGAAAGAGAAAATATGCTAACCATTGAAGAGATTAAAAAACTGGAATAATAATAAAATCATGATATAAACATCAATAAATCACTTTAAATGTATCCACTGCTGATCAAATAAATTATAACACTTTGAAACTTAAAAAAAAAAGCAATTTAACAACTTCTTTCCCTAGTAAATTACCAAGATATAATTTCAAAAAATTATAAATATTTAGTTATTGGAACTTGTTTTTTAGCTTGCGATTCAAGTCATCACGTAGTAATCAAAATACTTTTCGTACCTTCTATATTAAATCCATCTGTTTTTTTGTTGTTCAAAAAAATTCACATAGATTTAAATGCATCGCCCAGAGACACTTGAATTTGCACTTCTTCAAAACCATTTTCATCAATTCCATCTTCACGTATCTCAATTTTATGATATCGTCATCATCTAAAAATTCTTTAGTTGGAATTTTCTTCTACCAATCCACAAAAGTATTTATTTAATGCATCTGCCAATAAAGCAGCGTGGAGATCGGACATTATGTCTACTGTAGTTCTCTGATTATTTCATTGATATTTTCTATTTTTTATCATTCATTATTTCTTCTTTGTCTCTATCTTGAATCGGCCATATCTTCATTGTTGAAGAAGGCAAAATAGTTTCTTTCCAGCAATTGAAGATTGCTTCATTAATATCTTTGCTATCTTCAAAAGTTACAAATAATTGCAATATTTTCTCTTAAATTATCTTTGAAACTTGCAATTATTCCTGCGTCTAAAAGTTTCAAAAACAGTGCCAGAACGGTTATAAAGAAAAGAACAAAAGGTGGAAGAAAATTCTATTTTCAATAATTTCATTAAAAAAATATTTTCTTTACGTTTTGTATGAACAATTCTGATATGTGATAATAAAATTGAAAAACAAAAAAACAAACAAAGTACGAGTAAACTACAATTTTGACCTGTAATACTTAACATAATAAAAACGGTTACGGCACGATTTCCAGACGGATGTTAGGCTATCGGGAAATGTCCTGTCGGGAAATGGTCCGTGAGTGAATAAAAACCAGCGATCAGCCTGTCGATCGATTTATCTAGAAAAACTCAAAAGTTCGAAATACCATTTTGACCTGGTCTTTAGTTCAGATATAAAGAAAATTTGACTTTTCTTTATATGGCTAAATAGACAACCTATCATTATTGCTAAAGAAATAGAAAGATGAAATAAGTTCGTACCAATTTAACTATTGCTATACCTTAACGCAAATTTCAGATTAAATTTTCAAAATTTTTTACCAAAAAATAATTAACATTGTAAAAATGTATCAAATTGATGTCTAGATTATCCATTCTTTTAAGAATGTAATTAACTATTATTAAAACTTTTTTATTAGAATATTAGCTTACGTAATTTATTTACGCTGTGTCGGCTGCGATATGCTGCGATAGATTAGATTACAATTTAATCTTCGTCATTAGACAAATGCAGTATATGTATATTTACAATAGATATCAAACATATAATAAATTTATACAATTTTTTTTTTATTATTACATATTGATTTCCTTAAACATAGCGTTACTGCGTTAGAATGAATTATATAAGGATTACATAATAATTAAAGTTTATATACTGTACTTTCATCATTCTTTCATATCTGTGACTTGCATATCACATCAATTTTGGATGATCTTGACCCCCTAGAATTGTAAATCATTAAATAACTTCATTATCGTTTTTAAGTCTTTTTTATGTAACTTCAATAATGATATAAATCACAATTGGGTAAAACAAATTATTCAACAAAAGTATTTGTAAATTTATAACGAACATTGGTACCGACAATATTTAGTTATTTCATACCAACGATTTTATTCTTCAAAATAAACGATGTATATCAAACATCATGATTTGCATTACGCCAATTTTAATGGTTTGACATACCGCAGTTTTGTTTATCATGGATTACAATATCTTGCATTTCGAACGTTACACCAGAATTTTGATTCTTTGTTTCTATTTATAAATATACTTTTTTTATAAATCTATTTCTGAAATAATTTCCTTCTTGATTCATGTTCGATTATGTTCGATGTTTCGAAAAAGAATTTATCCATCCAAAATTGTTTCGTCGATAAAAAATGTAAGAAAAAAATATATTATATTATTTTATTTTACCTTTTTTTTTAATTGATACTCTTAATTTTCTTTTTATGTATACCATAAATTCATTATATTTATACAATTAATTTTTTTTTTCTAGATTTAATTTATATATTAATCGTCATTTTATCTTCTACTTTCGTCTAAAAGTATTTTCAAAAAATTCCTACGAGAAAAACCAATTAAAGTTAATCTTCCGTCGTACCGAGTACCCCCATAAGTTGGTGTTGAATTCTTGCCCAATCATAGATAATAATATTATGTCAAACTACCGAAGCGAGGCAAAAGCAAGGTGGGTCAAAACCAAAGTGATGCAAATACAAGACGCAACAGACTAAATAGAGCAAGTACAAGGATGGTTCAAAGTAAAATAAGAAATATATATTAGGTGAATTGTACCAAAATTGAAGTATAGACAATGTGAACGGGATAAAATTTAGATATAGGCAACATAAACCAGACCAAAATTGAGACTAGGGATGGCAACGGTCGGTCATGGTCGGTCATGGTCGGTCATCGGTCGGTCATAACCGGTCAAGAACCTTTGACCGACCGACCGACCGTTGACCGACCGGTCTAACCGACCGGTTAACCGATCCTGAAAACGTTTGCGAAACGTAATTTAATTGAAATACTTAATAAAAAACGTTTTCGCAACGTTTTCTATTACAATAAAATAATTAAAAAAACGTTTGTGAAACATTTTTTTTATTAAATTACGTTTCGCAAACGTTTTCAGGATCGGTCAAACGGTCGGTCAAACGGTCGGTCAGAGGTCTTTGACCGACCGATATCGGTCACGGTCATGACCGGTCATAACCGGTTAATGACCGTGACCGTTGCCATCCCTAATTGAGACCAAGCAAGTCGAAACAAAAGTGAATTAAACCAAAATAAGGTGTGTACAATGCCAAATGGGGAAAAATTAAAGTGAGGCAAAGGCGTTAGATATCGATCGTTGATTATTAATTTTCCTTTTAAATTTTGTGCTGCGTTATCGTATTAAACGATATAATCTTGAAAAATAGCATATATATACAGTATACTATTTATACTTTTCGCACTCGAAAATAAAAAAGAAATTATGGAAAACATGAACTCAACGCAAAATTATTCTAATATACAAACACCTTTACAAATTGTTGAAAATAATGGTGAACTCAACTTTCAACATACTTCAACCCTGGGAATGTCCACTAATACGAACATAAATACCTCACAAACTAGTGCAACTGCTTCTGCACCTACTTTTGAATTTTACCTTCCCATACCGAACGATACACGCATTTATCATGTTACTTATACAGAATTAAATACTACAACAGAAATTGCTCGACATTTAAATAACAGAATTAATTTATCTCATGTTCCTTACCATCATTTTCAACACCACTATAATGTACAAACTTCAATTCGACAACAGATTGTTCAACAATCCGCTGACCATCCACAAAATATGATTCAATTATATTCGAATGATTCGAATGACAATACTTACAATGCGTCATCCATTTCCGGTGATAATGTAAATAATATCTAAATATCATTATTTTTTTTCACACTCTTATTTCCCTTATCTTTTACTTTATACGCAGTATTATGTATGGGTGGGTTACGTCAAATTTTATTGTAAATAAAGCTATTCAAATTATCAGTTCGATTATCTTCGTAAAGAAAGAATTATTTTAACATTGCTGTATATCATAATTCATAACTCACATACGTTTTAATAAGTTTGATTTAGGATATAATATTTTAAGTGTTGACAATCATCATCACGTATTAAAAAGGATTGTGATTATGTGACACTCAAGTATAAATATATATGTGTGCGTGTAATAACTATTAAATTGCTTATTACAGTTATTTATCGGCCATCATTTTCGTGTCATGTCTCCGTCGGCGAATTTCTCATCATTTACTTTGACTGTATATTGCCCAAATTATTAAAAAAGTTTTAATTTTTAGGCCGTGCGTCTCGTATCAGAAATACTATTTATCATAACGATAAATTTGGGTTAACATTACGTTCAAATTACAAAATTAATATTGAGATAGTTAGTAATAAAAAATGATTTTACACTGTATTCATTATCCGTATTTCTATTTGACAGAATGTTAACTATTGTTTGAATTTTTTTAGAAAAATTGAGACATTTTTTGAGATGTCGTATATTAGTCGTACATTGGTCGTACATTAAAGTTTGATATGGCCCGCCGTAAGCCCATCATTTTTCATGATCATGTTACGATTTTTCACATGAACTTTTTCATCATGTGACGAATAATCTTCATGTTTCATATCGTTATGAATGATCGTTTGACGAAAATGTCTTACCACGTATTTCACATTTTAAAATTAAGAGATGTTTTTCTTATTATTTTATAAATGCATAAGAAAATCGTAAATTTCTAAATTTGTAAATAAAAAAAAAACTATAATCTCTAAATTTGTATTATTAAAATTCAGTTTTATATGAAAATTTATACAAAAAAAAAAAAAACTTTTTGCCGACAAATTATAAAAATAAAAAAAAAGAAAAAAAAATTTTAAAAATTATAAAAAAAAATGTCTTTAATTTTTTTCTGTTTTATAATACGAATATTCACCAAATGATCCAAGTTCGAAACTCGAAACTCGTAAACTCGTTTTTTTTTTCAATTTCATAAATTAATTTTTACTCTCAATATTAATAATTTTCGTATTAAATTTATATGTGGATTTATTAATTTATCGCAAAAAAAAAAAAAGTCTTGTACACAGTAACACACGTACTGTATTTTATTAAATTTACTTAACACAATTGCAACTTTTATAAAACTGATTTAAATAATTATATACGTTTAAATATTAATAAAAAAAAAATCGGATTCTTTAATTTCCATACAAAAAAAATTAAGGAACCCAATTTTTTAAGGATTAGGTTTTTTAAAATTTTCTTTTTAATAAAAAATGGTCATTTAGGGTTTCTTTAATTTCTTTCTAATAAACTGGGGAATTTTTTTTTTGATAAATTATCTGTTCATTATCTACATGTCAAAATAAATCAAATAATCGATTTGATAAAAATGTTACGAATGCGATAATATGCGAAAAATCGGTAAATCTAAATTCGTAGAAGATTATTCATCACATGATGAAAATCGGCATGTTACAATGTCACATGGTGAGAAAGCGGCATGTCATCATGAAAGTTATCGTGAATCACGAAAAGTAATTAATGAATCATGATGTCAATTTTATGAATCATGATTTTAATTTCTTTCCTATAAAAAAAAATAAGAAAAAAACCAATTTTCTTCGTTTTAAAAAATGGAAAAGCTTAACAAAGACATAATTCTCCTAATATTAGAAGAATTACAAGATGATTACAAAACTATTCGTTCATGCCTTTTAGTTAATAAGGATTTGTGTGAAACAACCATTCCAATTTTATGGAAAAATCCTACTAGAAAAGATCATATTAATAACGAAAAAAGTTTTTTACAAGTAATACTTTCACATTTATCAGAAAAATCAAGAAATAATTTAAAGAAACAAGGATTTGAATTTTTTGAAGATCAGAGACCTTTATTATATAATTATATTAGTTTTTGGAGACATTTGGATTTAAATTTTTTAGAATGTATCATAACTAATCATCCAAATATTAAATATAATCATTCAGATATTATATATAAAGTTGGAAATGAAATATTGAATCTATTTAATATGAATACAAAATTTATTTCTCTTTCTATTCAAAATCTAGACCGTATTCATATTACAGGGACTGAATCTTGTTTTTCAGAACTTAAATACTGTTCTTGTGATGTTAAAATCAATAGTAATGTTTTAGAGAGTTTGGCTATAACAAACACATCAATTAAAAAGTTGATATTTGAAATTAATCACTTAAAGAATAATCCCGGAATCATTAGATTAATTGAGGCACAAAAAAGCCTAAAAAAAGTCAATTTCGGTAATATATTTGTTGAAAATAGGCATGAAACATATTTTTCAATAATTAGAGCTCAAGAAGAACTAAAGGATCTTGCTGTTTTAGACAGAAATGGATTTATTATTTATGATACATATTTTAAAACACTTGAAGAATCGCTAATTAAATGTGCAGATACTATCCAGTATTTAAAAATAAGGTGGATACCTATTACAAATTATCTTTCATACCTTATAAATTTAGTAAGTTTAAAAATACAACCTACTCACAAAGCACATTTTAAACATTTAGAAAATCTATTTTTACCTCATTTAAAATGTCTAAAAACTCGATATATCTCATCTAAAATTTTAGCAAGTTTAATTGAAAATACAAAAGGTCAACTTAATAAAATTAGTATTCTTTTTCAAAATACCACTGATAATGAAAAGCTTATACAAGTAATTTATAAAAATTGTCCAAATCTTAGTTATCTTCAATTATCATTGGTTGATAGTGATATTCCAGAAGTTGAAAATATATTAATTCATTGTCAATTTTTAATTGAATTAGAAATTATGGAATTGAATGAATTTTCTCCCTTTGAAAAAGACGATTGGAATAAATTATTTGAAATTAGTGCTCCTACCGGGTCAAGTCGGGTCGGGTTTTGAGGAAATATTCGACCCGATCTGAATAAAAAAATATAAGACTCGTATTTATTCGGGTCTCATATTTTTGTAACCCGACCCTTGACTCGACCGAGTATAATTTAACTCGTGTAACCCGGGTTAGACCCGAACATTTAAGTAAAATGGGTACTAACTTATATTATGTGAGATTTTCTTCTAATAATAACAAAATTAATTTCCTTTTATTTGAAAAAAAGGCAACTTAGTGATTAACCACTAGTAGCATCCTGAAATTTGTATCATGAATGGTTATACAAAACATGTAACACTAGCTCTTATTTTTCTCCTAGACTAAATTATCTAAAATAAAATTAAAAATACGAATTTTGAACCTGGTTTAATATAATAAAAATCAAAGAGTTAGGCAAAATAATTAGCAGATATTCAAATCAAAGATAAATTGGAATTCTAAAGCTATCAGAAAAATATTATTCTCAAAAGCCAAATGTTAATTTTTTTATTTTTCTGATTAAGCTATGTTAATATTTGTTAAAACTAATTCTTGGCTTAATTTTGGCCAAAATTATAATTTTCCCAGAATTAAAAACATCCGGGTCGATCCGGGTCAAACCCGGGTCAAGGAAATTTATAACCCGACCCGGCGGGTCGGGTCATGCGGGTCATGCGGGTCACGGGTCATTAAAAATCGTTAGTACCGACCCGATTTAAAAGTCGAGTCGGGTCAAATTAACCCGGGTCGACTCGTATCATTCGGAGCACTATTTGAAATATTATTGAGATCCTCACCAATTAATTTGTTTAAGTTTAAATTTTTTTCTCGGAATATAGAAAACAAATTAGAAATATTAAAATTATTTCTTGATAGTTGGAAGGACAGACATCCTATAATATTACAAACAATTACATTAGAATATGAATTAGATAAATTGGAGCTACAGGTATTAAAGGATCAACTACAAATGTATAAGGTAGAAGGTATAATTAAAAATTATGACTTTGATGATAATACTGAAGGTATTGGACGTCTCTATCATAACAGTGAATTCAATAATATGTGTCGGTTGCGCATCAATTGGTAACTGACGCACTTCATCTGTATCACACAATAAAGTCTAACGTTATCAACTGATCAACGCCAATGAAGTGTTAAAAAAAAAATTATAGTTAAATAAAAAATAATAGTAGAGACATCTTATGACAATTTCTTTCTTCTATCATTTTTATAAATCAAAGTAATTTTTATACAATACTTATAAAACTTGTAGAGGATAATTAATAATTAAGAACAAATTAGTTAACAATATCCAGCGTGTTCAAAATATGATTTAGCCAATTGTCATACAACTAAAATTTAATGCATCTACCGACTTTCTATAGATTCCCACACAATTACGTTGTTGGCGTAAACAATTTTTGATATAAACTGAAAGAATGCTTAGATAATTCCTTACCGGGTTATAATCAGTGGCAAAAATTCAAGTCGTACTTCTTTTTCTTCGCAAATATCTCGCAAACATGTATTGATGCGTATTGTGCAGGATATGGTGACATTTTTGGAAGCTGAATATTCAACCTACTTCTTAAGTACTTTATATTTGTATAAACACGTAAAGTACAGTATATTTTCATCCCATTTTAAAGTTCTAATTTACCATGTTACAGACTGAATTTTTTACAATGCGATGCTAATAGTTATTGAGTATATGAGCAAGTGTTGAAGGCTCAAACAAAACCTTTAATTTTTAACGAATATGCTTTGCAAATTCTATTAAATTTATACTTCGATAATAAATTTTATTCTAAAAAAAAAATATTTAAAGCGTTCCTTTATCACGTTCATCATCGTAATATAGCATTATTAAGTGGGAAACATTATTAAATGGAATAATTCGTGATCAGTGTAACAATCGATGAAAACTTAGCTTTGCGATTATCTCGTGATCCTGTGATTCAATTCGATTAACTTTTTTTTGTCATATAGCTTTCCGCGCCCTCTACAGAATAAAAAAAAAGATCGCCGAAATTGGACCAATAGATCGATTTTTTTCAGAACATATCGGATTCATCCGAAAGAAATCGGCTTTGCGATTATTTCGTGATCCAGTGGATCAATTTCGATTAACCTTTTGTTGTTGTGCAACTCTCTACACCCCCTACAATATAAAAAAGATCGTCGAAATTGGTTCAATAGATCGTGGGATAATCGCAAACCCGATTTTTTTAATTTACCCCTAGGGATTTCCCCGATTGTTACACGAATAACGAACATAAAACGAAAAAAAAATGACTAAAACGTATACGATATTCCTGGCATTACAAGTAGAATTAATTCTTATTCGCGCGAAAACAAATTTAATTACAAATAATAATTATAAAGTATAAACTGTTTCAAAAATCTCTGAACAACCTTTTATTTATTATTAAAATAAATAAATTTTAAAATAAATGTCAAATAATTAATAAAATATGATTATCGAAAAATTTTTATGCTGATCAGAGTTTAATTTGAGAGAGTAGAAAAAGTTTGTAAATATCCGTATTTTGAAACTCGGTCAGACTCGGTCTGAGCTTAAAATATGAAAATAAATTAATTTTCTACTAAAACTAAAAATTTTAATAATTTTATTGAATATATATTATTTTTTTTTTACAATCATTTCTTGCGTCTCGCTCAGTCGCTCAACAATTTTATATTTAGGCAAAAAATTTAATTCTCTAAAAAAAAGAACCAATTATCAATTTTTTAATATTTATTACAATAATCTATCGTTAAAAAAAAAATCTCGTAAAAAAAAAAAATATATTTAAATTTCTCTTCGCCATTCAATAATGAAATTTTACGCATTATTTTGCAACGCAACTATAATTTTTGGCGTAGGCTCAGTGATTAAATAGCGGAATATTCCTTTTTTGGAGATAATTTGCCATTTAAGACAAAGGATCTTTCATTTTCCCACATAAATGAAAGATTTCTGTTAAATAAAGTTTTTGACCAAAATTGCTGCGCCTCATATTTTTTAAAATTTCGGGTTCACTATAACCCGAAACGATTTCAAAATAGGAAAACTAAATTTATGTTCATAGTAATATTGACTTTATTACAAATAAAAATTACTAAGTGAAACTGTGGGAAGATAATGATAAAAAATGTTAATCTCGAGGGAATATCTTACTATAAAATCATTCATCGATCTATTTTAAGATCAATCAACTAAACCGGATATAGAAAGATTATTCAAATGACATGTGGTAATAACAATTATAATGTTAATAATCAATGTAACGCTTAGCCACAAACGTTGATCCGGATTTTCCTGATTTCTTTTCCAGAAACTTTAAATGATCAAATCAATTAATAATCGTTCATATCATTGATAATATATAAAAATGCATTAATGAGAATCATACGAGATTAATTCATCAAAAATATTAATTTTTGAAGAAATGGCTCAAGATTCTACTTCTCCCGTCAAAACCACTAAAGCTCTTGATGATTATGTTCTATTAGGTCGTAGTGGGTTGAGAGTTTCTCCATTATGTCTTGGCGCTATGGTAAGATTATTCGTAAAACTATTCGTAAATTTGGTCAATTTATAATAATTAATGTATGTTTAACGTATGAAGACTTTTGGAGAATCATGGGTAAGTTACTTGTAAATTAATTCTAATTAATTAATAATTCAAAAAAAAAGAAAAATAATTCTGAACGTTAAAATTATATAAACAGGGATTAGGTGCTACTAAAGAAGAATCGAAAAAGGTTTTTGACCTTTATTATGAAAAAGGTGGAAATTTTTTTGGTAAGTTTCTCTTATTTACGCTGTCGCTCTTAATCTTTTGTCGTGAAGATATTTTAATGACATGCAACTCTTTAGATACCTCTTGCAATTATAATTTTGGTGACGTAAGTAATAAAAATATTAAATATTAGTTCTGTTGATTCAATATTAATATTTATTAATGAAATATTTAGAGTGAACGCTTCCTTGGAGATTACGTTTCCGGTAAACGATCCGATGTTGTGATCGCAACAAAATATACATGTACGAATCTTGAGCTTTCTATGTAACTTTTTCTATTTAATTTTTTGAATTTCCAATAATTTTTCAAAATTTATTTCTTTAGGTAATAATACTTTTATGCAAAAGGAAAAGAGATTCAATCCGAATTTCGGTAAGTTGTTTATAGTTAGTATATATAATATCTTATATTAGTTGACAATAAATTGAAACTTAACTGCTAAATATATAGGAGGAAATCATCGAAAGAGTCTTGTAGAAAATTTGGACGAAAGTTTGAAACGATTGAACATGAGTTATGTTGATATTTTATATGTCCATATCTTTGAATATCGAACTCCCATCGAAGAAATGATGAGATCATTAGATGACGTAGTTCGAAGTGGAAAGGTAAGATAATCATTATTTAACAATATTCATTCAAAATAAGTTGAATATTTATTAATAAAAAAAATTAGGTTTTATATGTCGCTGCAAGCGATATTCCGTCTTGGGCATTCACTCGTGGTAATACCATTGCTGAATTACGTGGATGGAGGTACGATATTATAACAATAGCTTATAGATAATGATAAGCTTTAAATTAACCTATAATTTATTAATCATGTTTAGCCCCTTCATTGGACTTCAAGCGCGTTATAATTTGTTGGATCGTACGTCAGAATTTGACTTACAACCTGCTTGTGCTGAACTTGGTGTATGTATTATCAACTAAAATTCACGTTCATAATTCACTTGAACCCATGTACCTAATAAAATCTTTTTTTTTTAGGCTGGAATTATTCCATGGGGCATCATTGCGGATGGGTAATTAATCATTAATTATTTTTTTTTTTATCTTCAAAAATTAAAATTTGTTCATTTCCTTTTTTAAAATAGTTTTCTTACCGGAAAATATACGAAGGAATCAACCATTGATATAAAATCTGGTTATCGCAATCAAGCAATTGCGGGTCATTTTAAACATGAACAAAATTGGAAAATTTTAGATGAAGTTGTTGCTATTTCAAAAGAAATTAATAGATCTCCCGTTCAGGTAATTAATTATATTCAAATATTATATAAAAAAAAAAAGTTTTTAATAAATTATATTTTTTTAAACAAATAGGTTTCTTTGAATTGGATTCAACAAAAACCTGGCGTTACTTCTCCTTTAATTGGTGCTAGAACCGTTTCTCAGCTCGAAGAAAATCTTAAATCACTTGAATTCAAGTGAGTATAAAATTATTTGAAAAAGATTTTTTCTTTTAAATAAAAATGATTTCTAATATAAAAAAAAAAAAAATCATTTTCAGATTGACGCCTGAACAAATGAAAAGACTTGATGATGTTTCTCAACCAACTGGACGTGAAGTTCCATTTCCTTATTCAATGACTGACTCATTTGATGTTTTTATTGGAAAAAATATGCAAGTTCCAAATAAATTTGCACCTATTGTGAATACATATAATTATGGAAGATTATTTTAATGTAAAAAATTATAAATAGGTTTTTATTTTTAAAGTATTTTGTAAAATTGTATATTGTGTATATTTTATGTCTTTCAATTTTATGTCTTTCAATTTTATGTCTCTCGATTTTTGTCTTTCAATTTTATATCTTCCAATTTTTGTCTTTCAATTTTTGTCTTTCCTAAATTCAAATTTTAAATAAAAAATTGAAGTTTAAAATATAAATCGTTTTTTTTTTCAACTGATTCTTTTGATATTATAAATTTTCCTGTTCGTAATCTAATAATACAGTATATACTCCCGAATTTTCAGTGAAAAAATAAAATGTCGTAATAAAAAACCAATCATTTACATAAAAATATTTACCAATTTGACCTTTTAATCTAGAATCAAAAATCAAGTAACGTCCAATATTTATTTATCGCCGTTTTCAAGATGATGTACGCAGTTAAATTTGAATAAAAAAAAGAAACCTAAACCCGGACGAAAACGGGACGAAATATGGACAAAAAAACGGTACACCATTTTGAAAACGGCGATAATTCGATGATCAAAAATTTCTTGCAAAATTAATATTTATTGATTATGAAATTTTCAAGTTCAAAGTGAATTATTTTCCCACGGTTCAACATGCGAAAATAAATCACTTGGAGTCGAAATCCATATTTTATAAAAAAAAAAAACCAAATCTACAATACGTTGTTACAGACAGCCTATGTATTCACCCGAAAATTTATTAACTGCGCCTCACTTCTTATTGCGCAAATTATTTCTTAGTGCCAAAATGTAAAAGAACTGATTAATAGAATGCATTAATAATGCAAGATTATATAGCACCAATTTAATTGTTTCTTTGTAATCTTTTCTCTATTTTTTTTTCAAATAGAACAGTTAGGGAATTTACTGTAGTTTCGGGAAAAGTTTATGTCGATGAAACAGGTTTAATTGCAGATAGTGACAAAAATAAAAAAATTACAAATATTAAATTATTAATCAATAAAATCGGTGAAGTAATGCTGCATGTATTAATAATTAGTTTATCTGATAGGCGTGGTAGCACAATAGAGATCACGATTTTTTGATTTTTTGATTTTTTCTATTAGCTTTTCCATTAGTTTTTTTTTCAGAAATATCAAAAATATTAAAAATAAAAACAAAATTATTTTAATTTTAGAAAGAAAGAAGAAAAAAATAAGCTACTTTAAAAAAAAGTGGAAGGAAATATATGTTATGAATATTTTTTTTTAATTTAGTAACGCATTTCTTTATTAAGTAAGTCATATTAACATAATACAAAAATTGAATAACCCAATCTAGACTAAAATTCGAAATTTATGCCTAACTAATTTACTACGAAGCAACCTATAATAAGAAAAATAAAAAAATTGCTATAAGATACTAAAATTACTACAGAAAATTGATAAAATTTTTTGTCTTAAATGAAAATACTAATTTTATATTAATTCTACCAATTAATAACCTTAATAAACTATTCATAATCTACCAAAAATGACGCAAAATTTAATCCGATTAAATCACATCACCACGTGATTGAGCTTTCGTTTTTTCTTATTATCTTTCTCCTCATCCGAATCATCTGAACAGACCGAACTAGATTATTTTCTTTGGTTTTGTTGATACTAAAGATCTTAAAGGCAACCTTTTACTAAAATCTTCATTCAAATCTGACTTACGGTTTTATTGAAGATGATGTTGTAGGCGTGGGCGTTGGCGTCTGTTTCTCCAATCCATTTGATCCATCGTGTCAAAATATAACTTAACGCCATCTAAAATGTCATCTGACTGTTTTAACGGCGTGGTATTTGTCGACACTGCACAATCTTTTTTCTTCGGTCCGTTAAAGATGTATTTATCGTTCTTCCCAAATACAGTAGTTCATTTTGACTCTTTATCTGTAAGATGAACCTAATCCTTCTTCCATTGCTGATTTATAAATCGCCTCCATTATCTTGTTTTCATTGTTAAAACATAATAATACATACAAAGAACCGTGTGGTCTTATTATCTTGCCGTACATGGCTTTGCGAAGTTTGACGTACTTTATTATGCAATCGGTTTCCTGGTCTTTCATAATATGTTCATTCAATTTACGAGTTGCTTTCCAAAAAAACGTTGTCTAATTTGATAGCCGGCATTTTTCCACTAAACCACCGTATCAAAAACTTTGAACTGCCTTTCATCAACACGGTGTTAACCCTCCAATGAAATTTTTGTCCGCTTCTCCTATTAACGTAATTTTAGCTTTCACTGATTTATATTTGTAAGCTTGTTTAACACTCGGCGTTTCTATAATTCCAGTACGAAATTCCGTACTGCATTCGGTTTTGGTACGAAATCTCGAAAATCATTTGAGCGACCGACAACAAAATCTCGACAATCCAATATCTTGACAAGTCAAAATCCTGACAAAATTATAGCACATTTAAACTAAATATTACATATTGCAACAAATTATTTTATTAGAACACACATCACAAAATTGTCGATATAACTTGTCATGATTTTGGATTGTCGAGATTTTGTTGTCGATCTTGTGTTAGTCGTGCAAGTGACTGTGATCGGATATCCTGCATTCTCTATTGATCTGACGATCTTTTGCTTTTTAGATAACGTTTGATTTTCTGTTTCAACACCCTGTTTTTTTGTTGGTGAATTACTATTTTTATCCTCGACCTTTCGTTCTTAACTTTTTTGATGATTCCGCAATCTCATCTTTCTGCGATATTATTCGTGTTTTACATCCATTATTAAATCTTTAATTGCTGATCTGCCTAAGATGGGCACTGCGTTACTAATAAAATTCGGGGTTAATAGCAATAATAAAAAAAAAGCATTTTTTACATCTCGCGCGCGGAATAAGTTTCCACTATTTCACAAACAGAAATAACATAAATTCAATATTTTCCTTCATTTTATAAAACTTTTTGGCAAGTATGACTTGCCCCATAACTATATTTCTGTAACGGGTTTTCTTCAACTTTCACTTGCTTTTAATAATAAAAATATTTCAATATGTCTTTAAAAACAACTTTAAAAGCTAAAAATTATATGTTTTTAATGTAAATAACACAATATAGTAAAATGAAATATTGAAATTTCATATATTTTAAGGTGTAAATCTGATGCGCGTACATAGTAAACTCATTATTTTGCGTATGAATGTATAATTTTTTTTGTAAATTCTTTTTTATTCAGTATATCATATGACTTTTATTTATAATCAATTTGTCGTCTATGAGATATCCTTTTTTGAAATTTGTGTTCTAACACAAAATCGGCAAATTTAACCCCGAATTTTATTAGTAACGCAGTGCCGATTTTAGGCGGATCGGCAATTAATCTTTTCTTTGCCGATCTTGCTGCGTATATCAGATACAGAACGTAAATATTAAATCCGGATTGACGGTAGAGCTGGAAATTAATAAATATATGATGTCAATTTGAACTAATAATAGAGAAGATCGAAAACTTTGATTTGTAATTATATTGATTGACAAAAGATTTAAATAATTAATAATATTTCACTAATAATGGAAAAGGTCGGAAAATTTAGATTATTGTAGCATTAAAATCTTTGGCTAAAATAAATTATTGATTGACAAAAGACATAATTTAGACTAATAATGGAAAAGGTCAAAAATTTGGATGGTTAAAACAAAATAATGCAGATTCAGTTTCGGGTTCATATAATAAACTAATATAGAAAAGATTGAAAATGTAGAAGCCAATCATTATGATAAATTTCTCGAACATATAAATAATGAGAGTCTACGAAGCTGAACTTTTATCAAATTATTCATCTTCGAAGAAATGGCTCAAGATTCTACTTCTCCCGTCAAAACCACTAAAGCTCTTGATGATTATGTTCTATTAGGTCATAGTGGATTGAGAGTTTCTCCATTATGTCTTGGTGCTTTGGTAAGATTATTTATAAATTTGGTCAATTATGAAAATGTATTTTTAATATCTGTAATTCTTCATTGTTTCATATGAAGACTTTTGGAGAACAACGGGTAAGTCACCTATAAATTAATTTTAACGATGAATCAAAAGAAGAAAAAAATTTCTGAATGTTAAAATTATATAAACAGGGATTAGGTGCTAATAAAGAAGAATCGAAAAAAGTTTTTGACCTTTATTATGAAAAAGGTGGAAATTTTATTGGTAAGTTTTTCTTATTTACGCAGTTGCTCTTAATCTTTTATTATGAGGATATTTTAATGACGTGCGTCTTTTAGATACCGCTTGCAGTTATAATCTTGGTGAAGTAAGTAATAAAATATTAAATATTAGTTCTGTTGATTCAATATTAATATTTATTAATGAAATATTTAGAGTGAACGTTTCCTTGGAGATTATGTTTCCGATAAATGATCCGATGTTGTGATTTCGACAAAATTTACGCGTACGAATCTTGAGCTTTTTATGTAACTTTTTAATTTTTAAATTTCTAATAATTTCAAAATTTATTTCTTTAGTTAATAATACTACTGTGCAAAAGGAAAGGAGATTCAATCCGAATTTCGGTAAGTTGTTCACAGTAGTTAGTATATATAATATCTTATATTAATTGACAATAAATTGAAACAACTGCTAAATATATAGGAGGAAATCATCGAAAGAGTCTTGTAGAAAATTTAGATGGTAGCTTAAAACGACTGAACATGAGTTACGTTGATATTTTATATGTTCATGTTTACGAGTATCGAACTCCGATTGAAGAATTTATGAGATCATTAGATGACGTAGTTCGAAGCGGAAAGGTAAATGAATTGCTGTCTTATTCAGTTTTTTTTATAAATATTATTAAAAAAAAATGAATATAAAAATAATAGGTTTTGTACGTTGCCGTGAGTGATATTCCATCTTGGGCACTCTCTCGTGCAAACACTATGGCTGAATTACGTGGATGGAGGTACGAAATTATAAAATAACTTGTAGATAATTATGTTTTTTTTAAGTTAACGCATTTTTATTAATTGTGTTTAGTCCTTTTATTGGACTTCAAACGCGTTATAATTTGTTGGATCGTTCGTTAGAATTCGACCTACAACCTGCCTGCGCTGAACTTGGTGTATGTATTATAAACTAAATTCATGTTCATAATTCACTTGAACTATATATCTAAAAAAAAAGTTTTTAGGTTGGAATTCTTCCATGGAGTATCGTTGCAGATGGGTAATTAATCGTTAGTTTTTTTTTTATCTTCAATATTTAAATTTATTCATATTTCTTTTTTATATATATAAAAGTTTTCTTACCGGAAAATATAAGAGAGAAACAAATATTAATTTAAAATCCGATTATCGCAATCGATCAATTATAAATTATTCAAAGGACGAAAAAAATTGGCAAATTTTAGATGAAGTTATTGCTATTTCAAAAGAGATTAATCGATCTCCCGTTCAGGTAATTTATAATTTTATATTCAATCTCTAAATATTATATAAAAGTTTCAATACAATATTTTTTTAAAAATAAATAGATTGCTTTGAATTGGATTCAACAAAAACCCGGTATTACTTCTCCTCTAATTGGTGCTAGAACTGTTGCTCAACTCGAAGAAAATCTTAAATCACTTGAATTCAAGTAAGAATCATAATTAACTTTTTCCATTTTTTTTTTTAAAAAAAAAAAATCACAAACTAGAAAGAATAAAATAAAAAATATCATTTTCAGATTGACACCTGAACAAATGAAAAGACTTGATGATGTTTCTCAACCAACTGGACGTGAAGTTCCATTTCCTTATTCAATAACTGACTCATTTGATGTTTTTATTGGAAAAAACATACAAGTGCCAAATAAATTTGCACCTATTGCGACTACATATAATTATGGAAGATTATATTAATATAGTATCAATGTGAATACTTTGTATATTTTATATTTACATCTTCAATTGATTTTTTTCTAATTATACAAATTTCAAATAAAAACAAGAGGCAAGTTTCAATGAGGAGCTATCCATTGGTCATGATATATTTGTGTATAGTATAACATTATTTATTAATAAATTTTTGGTTTATACGTTCAAATCGGCTCCTTCTTTTAAAAAATTACTTTATTGCAAATTCCAATTTCCAACGTTCTGGTATTGAAAAACATTATGCAAGGCATTTTACCTGTCTTTTTAATTTCATTAAGTCCAGTATTGAGAAATCATCGACTCGTGCTTTAAAAAAAATCTATTAGGGTGGGGCAAAATTAAAGTTAATGCTAGTAAAGTTAAAGTTAGAAGTTGGCTAGAAATTACTAATTTAGGATGATCTGTATTTTAACCGGTTAAGTTAGCCGGTTAATTAGTCGGTTAATTTAACTGGTTAAATTAACCGGTTAACCGTTTTTTGAGAAGTCTTAACCGGTTAGCCTTAATCCTGTCTCTTATACACATCTAGATGTGTATAAGAGACAGGTAATTCTTCATTGTTTCATATGAAGACTTTTGGAGAACAACGGGTAAGTCACCTATAAATTAATTTTAATTGATGAATCAAAAGAAGAAAAAAATTTCTGAATGTTAAAATTATATAAACAGGGATTAGGTGCTAATAAAGAAGAATCGAAAAAAGTTTTTGACCTTTATTATGAAAAAGGTGGAAATTTTATTGGTAAGTTTTTCTTATTTACGCAGTTGCTCTTAATCTTTTATTATGGGGATATTTTAATGAAGTCATTTAGATACCGCTTGCAATTATAATTTTGGTGAAGTAAGTAATAAAAATATTAAATATTAGTTCTGTTGATTCAATATTAATATTTATTAATAATGAAATATTTAGAGTGAACGCTTCCTTGGCGATTACGTATCCGATAAACGATCCGATGTTGTGATTTCAACAAAATATACAGCTTATAATACTGCTATAGAAAAGGATAGGAGATTCAATCCGAATTTAGGTAAGTTGTTCATAGTTAGTATATAATACCTTATGTTAGTTAACAAAACTGTTAAATATATAGGAGGAAATCATCGAAAGAGTCTTGTAGAAAATTTGGATGAGAGTTTGAAACGATTGAACATGAGTTACGTTGATATTTTATATGTTCATGCTTACGAGTATCGAACTCCAATTGAAGAATTTATGAGATCATTAGATGACGTAGTTTGAAGTGGAAAGGTAAATGAATTGCTGACTTATTTAGTTTTTTTTATAAATATTATTAAAAAAAAAATGAATAAAAAAAATAATAGGTTTTGTACGTTGCCGTGAGTGATATTCCATCTTGGGCACTCTCTCGTGCAAACACTATGGCTGAATTACGTGGATGGAGGTACGAAATTATAAAATAACTTGCAGATAATTATGTTTTTTTTAAGTTAACGCATTTTTATTAATTGTGTTTAGTCCTTTTATTGGACTTCAAACGCGTTATAATTTGTTGGATCGTTCGTTAGAATTTGACCTACAACCTGCCTGCGCTGAACTTGGTGTATGTATTATAAACTAAATTCATGTTCATAATTCACTTGAACTATATATCTAAAAAAAAAAAGTTTTTAGGTTGGAATTCTTCCATGGAGTATCGTTGCAGATGGGTAATTAATCATTAGTTTTTTTTTTATCTTCAATATTTAAATTTATTCATATTTCTTTTTTATATATATAAAAGTTTTCTTACCGGAAAATATAAGAGAGAAACAAATATTAATTTAAAATCCAATTATCGCAATCGATCAATTATAAATTATTCAAAGGACGAAAAAAATTGGCAAATTTTAGATGAAGTTATTGCTATTTCAAAAGAGATTAATCGATCTCCCGTTCAGGTAATTTATAATTTTATATTCAATCTCTAAATATTATATAAAAGTTTTAATACAACATTTTTTTAAAATAAATAGATTGCTTTGAATTGGATTCAACAAAAACCCGGTATTACTTCTCCTCTAATTGGTGCTAGAACTGTTGTTCAGCTCGAAGAAAATCTTAAATCACTTGAATTCAAGTAAGAATCATAATTACCTTTTTCCATTTTTTTTTTTTAAAAAAAAAAATCACAAACTAGAATAAAATAAAAAATATCATTTTCAGATTGACACCTGAACAAATGAAAAGACTTGATGATGTTTCTCAACCAACTGGACGTGAAGTTCCATTTCCTCATTCAATGACTGACTCATTTGATGGTTTTATTGGAAAAAACATGCAAGTGCCAAATAAATTTGCACCTATTGCGACTACATATAATTATGGAAGATTATATTAATATAGTATCAATGTGAATATTTTGTATATTTTATATTTACGTCTTAAGTTAATTTTTTTCTAATTTACAAGTAAAAACAAGAGGCAAGTTTCCATGGGGAGTTATCCATTGATCATCTATATTTGTATAGTATAACATTATTTATTAATAAATTTTGGTTTATACGTTCAAATCGGCTCCTTCTTTAAAAAATTACTTTAGTATTTATAAATTCTAGCATTCTGGTATTGAAAAAACATTATCTATATTTGTATGCAAGGCATTTTTGCTTGTCTTTTTAATTTCATTAAGTCCAGTATTGAGAAAAATTTAAAAATTTTTTTTTTTCCCTATTGCAAATTCCCAGTATTGAGAATCCTCTTCTGGATATATGAAAAAGAGAAAACTTTTAAAAAAAGTTTATTTTTTCTATTGCAAGTTCCAGTATTGAGAATTCTCTATTAGACATAAACTTTTTCTCTATTTGTAGATTCTGATATTGAAGAAAAAAATTCTTTTGAGAATTTTTTTATTTGTTATTTTAGATATCAGCATTTTTGATTTTAATAAACAAAAACGTCTTTTTGTTGTCAGGTTCTGCCGTTCTGGCATTTCGATTTAGTAATAAAAAAAAAAATTTTTTTATTATTTATGGCCGATTTAATGAAAAAAAAAATAATACTTTTTTCATTCGTAGATATTGGTATGCCAGCATTGAGAAAAATAATTTTCTTTTTTTTATTTATCGATTCTGGCATTCCAATTTAGCTTGAACATTTTTATTGCAGTGATGATGATATATTCATCAGGAAATTTTTTGTGTAGAAAATATGCAAAATTTCGTGCATGAAAAAACTGATTTGCACACCCTGAAAATGCACATTATTTGCATATTAAATATATATAATATGTATATTGAGTAATTTTCTGTGATATATTGTAAAAAATTTGTACAAAAAATTACATATATAATATTGTTAACTATACTGCATAAATTTTGAGAAATTTAAGTATTTGTGCAATATTGATTAGTGATGTAATGGTGTAGTTAGCCGAAAAACGGAGCTGAATTCCTGATTGCTGATCATCCGGACCCGGTTTAATCGCAGAAAATCCCCTGGAATTCCACGACGATCTAAGCCCGAGCCAGGTCCGGATCACGTTGCGGTAATTATCTTTCGGCTAACTACACCAATATAGAGAAGATTATGCCTTACGGTGTCGGTCCAATGATCTTTCTGCGTCCAGTCACGTCAATTTTTAGCACAGTCATGTGAATTTGGGTCCAGATCATCGGAGATCGGACCATGTGGTCTAGTGATTCGCTAAAAATTACTTGATTATAAAGCTTGATCTACACGGTTTTTTTTGCTTTATAATGAGATAATGGTTTTAGATGATATAGTATATATAAATTGCTAGGAACCTCTTGTTTCAATAAATTAAGATGCAATTGATTTTTGTTATAAGTTTTTAAACATTTTATTGTATAAAAAATGTTTATTTAAATCTACAATTAATACAAAAAAAAATAAAATAAAATGTAGATCGGTCATGTAGATTTAATTCGGTCTGATTGATCAAAATCACAGGACTCAGTTAACTCAGTCCAATGGTAGCGAAGTCCGATCAAAGTTTAAATTCGGTCTGCATCAAAATTCATATGACTGTGCTAAAAATTGACATGACTGGCAGAAAGATCGTCGGACCGGACTCAGTAAAGATATTTATTTATATAGATAACAACTCTGATTCCCTAAGTCATCATGTGATCATCACGGAAAATAATTTTGCTGAGGTCGATCCAATTTTAATAATTTTTTTTTTAAAAACTTTATTATTATTATAACAATTATTGCATAATTTAGACGACATGCATCTCCTAATAAAGTATCTATCTAAAAACCTGTTAAAAAAAATAAAAATAAAATAAAACTAAACAAACTAAGACTACCAAAACGTACTAGCTATTTATAATTTTAATTTTTAATTAAAATCTACGCTAATACCTACTATCACTAGCGATAGATACTTTACTAACAAATTTATCACTTTTTCTTATTCTTTTTCTTTGATTCCCACCTTTTTTACCTTTCCCTCCTTGAGCAGATTTTTCTTTTTTCGCCACTACTGTAGCAATATTTTCTGATTCACTCTCCCCATCAGTTTCATCACTACTAACTGACCCTACTCAATTATTCCTTGCTACATCGCTTGTGGCCAATTTTTTCTTCTGAAATTTCTTCTTTTTTAATTTCAGGCAGATGCAATGAACAAGCTTGATTCACCTTATTATATAGAATCACGGAAATTGGTACTTCTCCAGTTTTTCCTTTTTTCCTGAAATCATTAATGACGTCAAGCACTTCGTCCGGAGTCACGTGACCGTTCGTATCTGACCCATTTATTTTTATTTTTATTTTTATTTTTATTTTTAAGAAAAAAAACTCTCTCCCCTTTCCGTTTTTTTTTGTTAAAAAACCGCAGTAATATACCTTTTTTTTCACAAATACTTATATTTTTTGTAAGGAGCGAGGACCACTCGGTGGCCTCTACGGAAAGGTCTCCTATTATTACCCTTGACCTCTGAGAGATATGGATACAGAAGATATACCTGTTCCACTTCAGTCTGTTCATAACGACCAGACTATTTTACCTTTACCTTTTCCCTTAAAAACGTTTAATAATACGTCCAATACTCATGAAAATACTTTCCTTGTCTCTGTGAAAAAATTTCACGTGATGACTAAACGCTGAACCGGTTATAACAAGATTTATGAATTTAGGCGCTCAAAAAGTTTCTTTTTTGAGCTTGCTGATCCTTTCTCGGACACCAATAATCTTCATTTATTTTTACACACCAATGATTATCACATGGATTCTACGCCTATTCGATACACATCCACAAGTTATTTGCCTAACACAAAATATCAAATTAGTAAAATGCTCACACACTTTTTTATTTTACAAAAAGTTTTACCTCGACGTATTCAACAAAAGTATTTTGATTTGATTCGCCGGAAATTATTGGAACAAATTAACTTTATCAAGTCACGTGCTTCTAAAAGAACTTTGAAGAACTCCATTACCCGCACTTTCTTCTCGTTTTCTTATAAGCGCTATCGCTTCCACTTTGGCATTTACATTCCTTGTGAACATGCTTGCGCACCTGGTTCATTAAACCCTTTCACCTGGTGTCATAGCCCGAGCCCTTTCGTCATGTCTTTAAATAGACGTGCTTGTGGTACTCATCAATCTGAATTCTCGAGAACAGAAATCAACCACCATCTGAAACCTGTGCCTGATTCAGACCCAGGATTTATAAATTCAAAATCTTCACACGCAAATCATGTATATGATCTTTGGCAACATCGATGGAAAAATGATATTTTTTCCAATCGTCTTGGTATTCGATACAATGTATGTTATGCAGCCAACAGTAGTAATTTCGTGCGAAAGCACCCAGGCGCCTACATTTATAGGAAACACCTTTCGAATTTCAGCTTCGACCTCAGCAGTAACCCTGTAACGAAACGCAAACAGGAAACCCGCTTTAAGAGACATTGTGCACGGGTGTTTAAAAATATTAACCCTACATCCCGCACTATGAAAGAAGATAAACTCGCAGCAGGGAGACGTTTTCGCTTCCTATTCCATGAATCTCAACACATTTACTCACCTCTTCACCACCTGAAATTCAAACGTTTTTCAATAGGAAAATTTTTACCTGATCCCGATGACTATACATTTAACATACCTTACCATTCGCTGAAGAATTCCAGTATTACGCCTATAGTTGGTTCACAACCTTCGACATCATATAGGCCTTCTGGTGCCAATACAATCCCCCATTATTTGAATGCTGAAGAAATTGCGGTGCTCGGTGGCTCTTTAGAACCACTTAAACGTACTCCTGTTTATTACGGTTATAACCCCGTAGACCCGTCAAAAGTGGACAGTAGTTATCACTTACAATACAACCCTATTCAACCCGATTTACCTCCCAGTATCGAAATACGTCAATCTAATCCTTTAGATTACGATTCATCCACCGCTAACGCTATAGGTACTACACTCAAACATTATTATCGTCGAGCAATGTTGACTCGACAAATTACGGTCTGGACTAAAGACTACCATAAGTATATGAAACAACCTCCACCACCTCCAAAACCTTCCAAAAAGAAACAGCATCACAAGTGGAAGAAATGGATGGAAAAGCATCAAGATTATGAAGACTTTATGAGCAAACCGTACGCTCCTCGGCCTTACTACCCGCCTGATTACCATACAGACCTTTTTGGTTCTCCTTCATACACATCAGATGAAACTAAAACAGTGGAATACCGACCTAACAAGAGGGATACGTTGACCAATTCTTCCGCTTCATCACAATGACACGACAATAAAAGACCAAGACCAGCGAATAGTTATTTACCTGACTCCCTATTTACTAGTCTTAATTCTAATTAAATTAGTTTTTTTTGTTTTCTTTATATATGTATATTTTCCATGTAATGAGTCTTATAACATTTTTTCCTACTTTATAATTTACATTACACATTTTGGCGTCTAACTTACCCCTACGTCATCATGTATATATGTAAATATATTAAACAATTTAGAATAGTATGAACCACTCCACTTATGACAGTATTGACAAGTGGCAGCCTTAGGGCTGAAAGCAAAATACGGGTTTTATTAATTTTTCTTGTTCATTTTTCTTGGAATTTTGGTAAGACTGTTTTAAATTTAATTTTTTTAGTTCTTCTTTTTCATTCGATAGTACTTTCTAGACTCCCGGTTATACCTGATTGTTCTATTGAATAAGAGGCAAGACGACCCCTTCAGGCTCCTCCTGAGAGGTTGGGTTTATCATTAGCTTAGAATTTATTGTTTTTTTAAATCATGTTTATTCTTATTTAGCGTTCGACCCCAGTCGAGTCTATATTTTAAAAATAAAATAAAAAAAAAAAAATTTTTATTTTTAAAATATAGACTCGACTGGACTCGAACGCTAAATAAGAATAAACATGATCTAAAAGAACAATTAATTCTAAGCTAATGATAAACCCAACCTCTCGGGAGAAGCCTGAAGGGGTCATCTTGCCTCTAGAGATTTAGAGGACCCACGCATAGCGTGGACCCCCTAAATCTGCTCTCATACCAGTACCCAGGCGTAGTGCAATGGTAGTTCGTTTCTATTCAAAGTCCTTATGGACCCGCTGCCCATGTACACTACACTAGGTATGAGCCGATTGCAATGTATCCAAGGCTCACGCAAATTGGTGGACCACCATAGGTGGTTAGTACTCCCGCCCGTACTATTATATCCCCATAGGGGCCTATATCGGGTACCAAGATGCTTTAACAGAGTCATAGGACCATCTGGCATATCAGATATGCTGGAACCGCAGTACGGGGCCACTATCCCTTGGTTATCTGAAGTCAAATGACCATTTCTAGGACTCGCCATACCAGTCTACCAATGATCACATCTACCACCTCACCATTCGGTAGGCATCATTTCAGCTCCCCCTAAAGGTACGGGATCTTCAACACAGTTGGTGGCTGTGCACGCAGTAATATTTGTAGCAAGGATCATTGGCTGGACGATCTGAACCTGCGTCCTATTGATTGGTCAGATCAATAGGGAGTGTAGACGCCTTAGGCCATTACACTAGGGACGCCAATCCCCCTCTGACCCATTTACCCCAGCATCGCCCCAAGATTTCTAAGTAAAATTCCACCCCACATGACCGGTGATGTTTAAGGGGGAGTGAAAAAATATTTTTTCACCACTAAAAATTTTCTCTGTCCCCAGAATTACTTATGAAAAAATGAAAACGGTGAGGTGTGACGCGGGGTGACATTTTATGCAGGTCACGTGGGGTGAAAAATCTTGGGGCGACGCTGGGGAAGATTATCTGACCCTTTTTCGAGAAAATGAACCGACAACGCACCAATTTTAATAATTGTTATGATCATCGATCTTTTTTTATTGTAAAAAAAACTTTTTTTGGTTGAATAGTAGCTCTTTGGAACTTTATAACTGATAGAATAACTCACAATGGTATTTAAGAAGGTTAGGGAAACATTATTTTTTTAAACTGAGAATGTTAGCCAATACAGCTAATATTCCATTTTCATTTTTTTATAGAAACTTCAACCCAAATTTCAAAATTGCAAAGTAGGTAGGTATTTCATTTTATTACTCTGCTTTTTGGTTTTTTTTGTTGTTTTTTGATTTGGAAACATTACTAATATTCCCTTTTACCTTTTTTTAGGAACAGTTTGAACTCGACCTGGACTTTAAATTGCAAGATGGGTGGATGTTCCTTATTTCTTTAATTTTTTTTGTTGTTTTTTTGATTTGGAAACATTACTAATGTTCCCTTTTACCTTTTTTTAGGAACAGTTTGAACTCGACCTGGACTTTAAATTGCAAGATGGGTGGATGTTCCTTATTTCTTTAATTTTTTTTGTTGTTTTTTTGATTTGGAAACATTACTAATGTTCCCTTTTACCTTTTTTTAGGAACAGTTTGAACTCGACCTGGACTTTAAATTGCAAGATGGGTGGATGTTCCTTATTTCTTTAATTTTTTTTGTTGTTTTTTGATTTGGAAACATTACTAACGTCCCTTTTTCTTTCTTTTTTTAGGAAAGGCTTAAGCCAACTTGGGCTTCAGAATTGCAAGGTGGGTTTGTTTTTTTTTTTTTTTGATTCGGGAGGGTTACTAATATTCTTTTTATTTATTTTTTTTTAGGAAATAATTAAAAAAAAATTTTTTGACATGGATCTACTAATTAATGATTACGTAATTTCCTCTACCCTTAAAGATGTATTTATCGTTCGTTCCAAAAGCCCTTTATCTTTAAAGATGAACCTAATTCTTCTTTCATTGCTAATTTATAAATCGTCTCCATCATCTTGTTTCATTGTTAACTAAAATATAATAATACATACAAAGAACCGTGTGGTCTTATTATCTTCCCGTACATGGCTTTGTAAAGTTTGACGCACTTTATTATACAATTGGTTTCCTAGTATTTCGTACTAATATGTTCATTCAATTTACGAGTTGCTTTGCCAAGAAAATAATTTTAATAGCCGGCATTCTTCTGCTAAACCACCGTACCAAAAACTTTGAACTCAACACGGGGTTAACTCTTCCATTTATGAAATTTTTGTCCGCATGAAATTTTTGTCCGCTTCTCGTGTTAACCTAATTTCACTGATTTATATTTGTGAACTTGTTTAACACTCGGCGTTTCTATAATTCAAATCTTGGAGAGTGCTTCGTATATATGGTTATCATTCCACTTCTTAGGAATATCGTAAAATAGTAAATCACGTGACTTCTCTGCATACCCTCTGTAGAAGGTACTGGAACATTCTCTAATGATTTGACGATCTTTTGCTTTTTTAGATTACATTCCCGACACTTTTTGATTTTCTTTGTTTCATCCCATTTTTCGTTGGTGAATTGCCATTTTTATCCTCGACCTTCCGTTCTTTTAACTTTTTTGATTGTAATTCCGCAATCTCCTAATCTTTCTGCGATATTATTCATGTTTTAAATCTTTTAATCTTTTTCTTTTTGTTGTGTTTGCCGATCTTACTGCGTATATGCAATGTATATATACAGAACATTAAATATTAAATTTAAATAAAATCGGATTGACGGTAGAGCTGGAAATTAAAAAAATATGATGTCAATTTAAACCAATAATAGAGAAGATCGAAAACTTTGATTTGTAATTATATTGATTGACAAAAGATTCAGATAAATTAATAAATTTAGATTATTATAGCAATGAAATCTTTGGTTAAAATAAATTATTGATTGACAAAAGACATAATTTTAAACTAATAATGGAAAAGGTCAAAAAATTTGGATAGTTAAAACAAAATAATGCAGATTCCGAGGTCATATAATAAATTAAATAGAAAAGGTTGAAACTTCGGACCGTTGTAGAAGCCAGTCATTATGATAAATATCTTGAACATATAAATAATGAGAGTCTAGTCAGTCTACAAAGCTGAAAATTTTATCAAATTATTCATCCTCGAAGAAATGGCTCAAGATTCTACTTCTCCCGTCAAAACTACTAAAGCTCTTGATGATTATGTTCTATTAGGTCGTAGTGGATTGAGAGTTTCCCCATTATGTCTTGGTGCTTTGGTAAAATTATTTATAAATTTGGTTAAATTATGAAAATGTAATTTTAATATTTATAATTCTTTATTGTTTCGTATGAAGACTTTTGGAGAACAATGGGTAAGTAACCTACCTATAAATTAATTTAATTGATGATTCAAAAAAGAAAAAATTTTCTGAATGTTAAAATTATATAAACAGGGATTAGGTACTAGTAAAGACGATTCGAAAAAAGTTTTTGACCTTTATTATGAAAAAGGTGGAAATTTTATTGGTAAGTTTTTCTTATTTTCGCAGTTGCTCTTAATCTTTTATTATGAGGATATTTTAATGACATCTTTTAGATACCGCTTGCATTTATAATTTTGGTGAAGTAAGTAATAAAAATACTAAATATTAGTTCTGTTGATTCAATATTAATATTTGTTAATGAAATATTTAGAGTGAACGCTTCCTTGGAGATTATGTATCCGATAAACAATCCGAACTTGTGATTGCAACAAAATATTCATGTACGAATCTTGAGCTTTCTATGTAACTTTTCTATTTAATTTTTTGAATTTCCAATAATTTTTCAAAATTTATTTCTTTAGGTAATAATACTTTTATGCAAAAGGAAAAGAGATTCAATCCGAATTTCGGTAAGTTGTTTATAGTTAGTATATATAATATCTTATATTAGTTGAAACTTAACTGCCAAATATATAGGAGGAAATCATCGAAAGAGTCTTGTAGAAAATTTGGACGAGAGTTTGAAACGATTGAACATGAGTTACGTTGACATTTTATATGTTCATGCTTACGAGTATCGAACTCCGATTGAAGAATTTATGAGATCATTAGATGACGTAGTTCGAAGTGGAAAGGTAAATGAATTGCTGTCTTATTTAATTTTTTTATAAATATTATTAAAAAAAAAATGGACAAAAAAATAATAGGTTTTGTACGTTGCCGTAAGTGATATTCCATCTTGGGCACTCTCTCGTGCAAATACTATGGCTGAATTACGTGGATGGAGGTACGAAATGATAAAATAACTTGCAGATAATTATAAGTTTTTTTTAAGTTAACGCATATTTAATAATTGTGTTTAGTCCTTTCATTGGACTTCAAACGCGTTATAATTTGTTGGATCGTTCGTTAGAATTTGACCTACAACCTGCCTGCGCTGAACTTGGTGTATGTATTATAAACTAAATTCATGCTCATAATTCACTTGAACTATATATCTAAAAAAAGAGTTTTTAGATTGGAATTCTTCCATGGAGTATCGTTGCAGATGGGTAATAAATCATTAGTTCTTTATCTTCAATATTTTCAATATTTAAATTTATTCATATTTTTTTTTTTATATATACAAAAGTTTTCTTACCGGAAAATATACGAGAGAATCAAATGTTAATTTAAAATCCGATTATCGCAATCAATCAATTATAAGCTATTCAAAAGATGAAAAAAATTGGCAAATTTTAGATGAAGTTATTGCTATTTCAAAAGAGATTAATCGATCTCCCGTTCAGGTAATTAATAATTTATATTCAATCTCTAAATATTATATAAAAGTTATAATACAACATTTTTTTAAAATAAATAGATTGCTTTGAATTGGATTCAACAAAAACCCGGTATTACTTCTCCTCTAATTGGTGCTAGAACTGTTGCTCAGCTTGAAGAAAATCTTAAATCACTTGAATTTAAGTAAGAATCATAATTACCTTTTTCCATCTTTTTTTTTTNAAAAAAAAAAATAAATCACAAACTAAAAAAAAAAAATATCATTTAGATTGACACCTGAACAAATGAAAAGACTTGATGATGTTTCTCAACCAACTGGACGTGAAGTTCCATTTCCTTATTCAATGACTAACTTATTCGATGCATATTTTGGAAAAAACATACAAGTGCCAAATAAATTTGCACCTATTGCGACTACATATAATTATGAAAGATTATATTAATATAGTCTCAATGTGAATATTTTGTATATTTTATATTTACGTCTTCCGTTAATTTTTCTAATTTACAAATTTCAAATAAAAAAGTAATATTTAAAGAAAAAAAACTAAGTTTAAATAATATATTTACCCGATTCTTTTGACAATTTACATTATAAATTTTCATATTTTTAATGTTATAAATAGGTAAGATTAAACAATCAAATTTATAATTAAAATGTTATAATTATTGCATCTTATTGTTATGCACTAGACGTCTAGTCAAAATCGTGTATCAGGCAATATTCAAATCACGGGATACCGGATAAATCACTTATTCGGCACTTCGAGCTGAATAACTTAAATATCAGTCATATGAATCATATTATATGAATAAAAGTTATTTACGTAATTCCTTATGACGTGTAACACATAATCTTGATGTGGTTTGTCATGAGTATATAATTTAAATAATATAAATATGTTTGATCTTCTTTTTTCTCTGTCTTCTTTTTCTTTGTCTTTTTTTTCTTTTCTTCTTTTTTTAGGTCTGTTTTCTCTCTGTCTACTAGGTCTTCTGGTCTTCTCTTTATTCTTAGGTTCCTTTTTCTTTTATGTCTTCCTTTAGATAGGTATGTGGGTTGTTGTGTGTATGTTTGTATGTGGTTTGTGTGTGAGTGTGTGGATGGTGGTATGTTTGTGTCCTTTCAGTTTCTCGTTTTACCCTTTCCCTCTCGTATTCCCATTTCCTCTTGCTATCTCTCTCCCTCTCGTATTCCCCTTTCATTTCCCTTTCCCCGACCAATGTCGCTGCATCTCAACATGGTGATCAGATGACAAGAAGTTTTTTAAAAGACTTGGCTAAGTCAGCAACAAATAGTAATTACATATTACATAAGTCATAAATCGATTTGTTCATTTTATTAATTTATTGAATTGATTTCATGTAAACACGACTAAATAAATAATTTGGTATAATTTTAAATTATTGTGCATAGTTTTTCCATTGATATCGACATTATTCCAGCGAAGGGTATATTGTAGTTAGGTTTGGTAGTATATTGTGTGAGAAAAGGAGTGCATTCGAATCGTGAAGAGCGTTTATAATAACATTCTTAGGACTAGCACCGTTTTTGACATTTAAATTTAAACAAAAATCCTTTTTCAATCATATCCCTTTTTGTAATACTGATAATTTGCTATTTTTTGTAATCGATTTTTTTTTTGTTTAATGTTGTAATAATAAAAGATCCTGAGTAAATAAATGTGACAGACTCTAGCTATTACTGCTTTCCTAGTATTCATTTCAGTTCCAAAGTAATAGTAATGATGTTAACTAATAATGTTACCGTTGGTTTCTTTTTATTAAAAAGAGCAGAACACTTATATTAAAGAAATAAAATGTTAGATAGTATATATGTATTGGAGAAAAAATGTATACAGTATTGGCCAGTCTCATATTCCATAACTTTCTACGTCTTGTCTTTAGATCATTTGAATGAGTTAGTTGTTTTTAAATATAACTGCATAAATCTTTAATCTGAGATAATAACCTATGTTCTAGTCATTTTAAGAATGTTCGTAATGCGCTTCACATAGCGTTCGATTGAATCGTTCAACCAATCCGTTAGTTTGAGGGTGATAGGCAGCTTAATAGTAACTGATGCTTAACTCCAAGCTAATCACAAAGAGTATTCAACAAAATGAGTTAACACGATCTGCGCAAATGGATATTAAAGTTGAAAATCTTCGTTAAATCGGACCAATGGAAATCATCCTGATTCAATTTGACTTTGACAAAATACAGTATAAGTTGTAATGCAATATGACGAAATTGGAAAAATGGAATGAACGAAAGGGCGAAACCATAAATGGAAAAGTAGTAATTTGCGTAATATTAAAAAATTCAGTTTATAATGAATTAAAATTTATTTAATTGTAAAGTCCTGAATATAAGCACCCGAATATAAGCACCCGAAAATAAGCACTCCTTACCAGAATTATAGTAATTTTGGCCTACATTATGATGGGGCTCGGCTGGAATTACGTACATAAAAGGGTGCTTATTTTCGGAAATTTACTGTATTGTTGATCACCAATTATTCGTAATTGTATTACGGAATTACGATTGGCGTAATAGTTGCATCAGAAGTGTTTATTTAGAAATTACAGATCAGCCAATTTATCCGTAATTGTATTACAGAATTAATGATTGCGTGTAGTTGCTTACGACTCGCTTGAATTGAATACGTTATCAATTATTCGTAATTGTATTACGGAATTACGGATTTAATCAATGGCTTCTATTATTTAACTTAAATTTATCGATAGGTTTAAACCAATGTTCTATCAGTTATTTCCCTTCAAAAATTTTAACTATTTTTAACTATAGTATTGAAATATGTGTGAAATGCTACAAACAGATTTTTAATTATTAAAAATGCAAATAATGAGACATTTTTAAATTCCGAAAATACGTATATTAATGATTACGTATTCATTATTTATACGTAAATAGTCTTCGGGAAGCCAAATAATAAATTATCCATAATTGTATTACAAAATTAAGGATTTATGATTGCGTATAGTTGCTTACGACTAACGACTTATGTTTACTCGCTTACAATTTAAGGAATTGATTTTGGACGAGTAAATGAGCAAATTGTTTAACCTATAAAGGTTAAGTTTTATTAGTTAATACAAATTAAGTTAATTAATAGTAGATCTGGAAAAAAATATAATTTCTCTGAATGAGTTAGTCTAACTAATAATAGATAAGTTCAAAATTTGGACCGTTGATTGTAAAACCAATCATTAATATAAATACTATGGGTCTACGAAGTTGAAATTTTATCAAAATATTTATTCATTTTTAAAAGAAATGGCTCAAGATTCTACTTCTCCCGTTAAAACCACTAAATCTCTTGACGATTACGTCTTATTAGGTCGTAGCAGATTGAGAGTTTCTCCGTTATGTCTTGGCGCTATGGTAAGATTATTCATAAAAAAAATATTAAATTATTCGTGAATTTGACCAAATAATAAATATTTATATTATATGTTACGTTTTATTTAACGTATAAGACTTTTGGAGAAACATGGGTAAGTCACTTGTAATGTTAATTCGAATTTATTGATTAACAAAAAAAGAAGAAAATGAATATTAACACTGTAAAAATAGGGAGGCTCAAATAAAGAAGAATCAAAAAAATTTTTTGACCTTTATTATGAAAAAGGCGGAAATTTTTTTGGTAATTTATATATTTTTTTTATTACGCAATCAATCGATTCATTATTTTAAGAAAAAATTTAATAACAAGTACATCTTATAGATACCGCTTGTAATTATCAGTTTGTTGAAGTAAGTTAATAAATATAAAAAGAAATGTTTTTTACTAGTTAATTCAATATTAATATTTATTTAATATAATGATTAGAGTGAACGTTTTCTTGGAGATTATGTTTCCGATAAACGATCCGATGTTGTGATTGCAACAAAATATTCGTGTATGAAATTATTAGCTGTCTTATGTAAAACATCATCCAATTTTTTGAATTTTTTAATAATTTTCGAAATTTAATTCTTAGGTAATACGACTGCTTTGCAAAAGGATAAGAGACTCAATCCGAATTTCGGTAAGTTAGTCAACTATTCACAATATAATTAATACATAGTATTAAATGTTTTTACATTAGTTGATAATAAATGAAAATTCAACTATTGAAAATATAGGAGGAAATCATCGAAAGAGTCTTGTAGAAAATTTAGATGGTAGCTTGAAACGATTGAACGTGAGTTACGTTGATATTTTATATGTTCATGTTTACGAGTATCGAACTCCAATTGAAGAATATATGAGAGCATTAGATGACGTCGTTCGAAGTGGAAAGGTAAATAAATTATTTTCTTAAATCGTTCAAAATAAGTTTTTTTTTATAAATAAATATTTTTTTAAAAAAATAGGCTTTGTACGTTGCCGTAAGCGATATTCCAGCTTGGGCACTTTCTCGTTCAAATACTCTTGCTGAATTACGTGGATGGAGGTACGAAATTACAATAATATCTTGTAAATAATAAAGATGAATTTTTAGGTTAACATATATTACGACGCGTTAACAAACTTCTTTTTTCGGTCATAATAATCATTAGCCCTTTCATTGGACTTCAAACACGCTATAATTTGTTGGATCGTTCATTAGAATTTGACTTACAAACAGCTTGTGCCGAGCACGAAGTATGTATTATAAATTTAATCCACGTACTTGAACTATGTATTTAATTAAAAAAATTTTTAGGTTGGAATCATCCCGTGGGGTATCGTAGCAGAAGGGTAATTAATCATTGATGCTATTCCTTTTTTATAAATATAAAATGTAAATATTTGATAACTCTTTTTTATAAATAGTTTTCTTACCGGAAGATATACGAGAGAATCAACTAAATCTCACTCAATTACTAAGTTTGAAAACGAATCGAAAATGGTAGACGAATATCGCAGTCTATCAATTCAAAGTCATTCAAAATCTGAAAAAAATTGGGAAATTTTAGATGAAGTTATTGCTATTTCAAAAGAAATTAACAGATCTCCCGCTCAGGTAATAATTTATATTCAATTTTTTAATATTATATACATATATAATTTTTATAAATTTTTTCTTTTATATATGAATAGGTTGCCATGAATTGGATTCAACAAAAACCTGGGGTTACTTCTTCCATAATTGGTGCTAGAACATTTGCTCAACTCGAAGATAATCTTAAATCACTTGAATTCAAGTAAGTGATTATTATCCAGCAAAAATTTTTCTTTATTTTATAAAATATTGTTTTTTTTTTAATGCGAATAAATTATTTTCAGATTGACACCTGAACAAATGAAAAGACTTGATGATGTTTCTCAACCAACTGGACGTGAAATTCCATTTCCTTATTCATATCATGACCAATTTGATACATTTATTGGAAAAAATATACAAGTTCCAAATAAATTTGCACCTATTTCGACTACATATAATTTTGGAAGATTAGATTAAAGTATTAATGAGAATGTTTTTGAATATTGTATATTTATGTCTTCAATTATTTTTTTTCAAATTCAAATAAGTGTAAGGTTTAAAGAATAAACTAAGTTTAAATAATATATTTTTTACTCGATACTTTTGACATTAAAGATTTAAATATATTGTAATTTTTTTATTTAATAAATCAAAATGTACAATGAAAAATATAATTATTGCATCTATTAAATTAAGATAATTTATTCAAAAATATTTTTTGACCTAATGAAGCCTCGCTTGCCAATTTGACCATTTATTAACCTGGAGAACGAAAGATCTCTGTCGGGAAAATTATAACAAATTTATTTTATTTTTTCGTTTCAAAAAATTTTAAATTTTAAATATTATTGCAGGCCAGCGTATATAATTGTATTAAAGAAATAAAATGTTAGATAATCGTTAGATAATATATATAATTATTTTGTATTAGTGAAAAAGGTATATAGACACTATGAGCTAGTTATTTTTAAATATACTGAATAAATTTTTATAAAATTAATAACGTATTTAAACTATGTCGGTTTATTTGGTAACACATTAGACTGGAGACCAAAAAATGGGGAATGTCATATTTAGAAACGAGTTAAAGGTACGTGTATATACAGAACGTTAAATGTAAAATATAAGTTGTAACACGATATGGAAAAACGGGTGAAAAGTAAAGTGAATGAATGGCGAAACCATAAATAGAAAAGTAGTAATTTGTGTAATATAAAAAATTTGATAAAACCATTTCTTAATGAATTAGAATTTGTAAATTTATCATATGCTCATTTTCGGGATTTTACGTTAGTTGATCATCGGAGTTACGGTAAAATGCGAGAAAAATTTTTGTACCCGAATTGACGATCATATCCTGAAATGCATTAAATCACATCTAGAACTGCGTATTTTTATAGATTAACTTTTTTAACCATAATACTCAATTTAGATGAATCAATTGAAAATATGATTATTCTAAAAAAAATTTTTTATCTCATTTTAACTTAGTAGAAATGAAAAAAAAGATCATTCTAAAATAAGATCTGTCGCAGAATATATAGATGCAGTATTTAGGATGGGGCCATACCATAAGCAGAGAAACATCATGATAAAATCTGGGTATCACGTACTTTGATGAACTACGCTGCAAAAATATCTCATTGATATTTAAATTTACTTAATTTATGCTTATTTTAAAGATTAATTGTAACAACTGATATTTATTAACAAAAAAAAAATAAAATCATGTGGTTCTATAATGATAAAGCCTTTTAATATAGCTCCCTCTGATAAATCTATTTCTTGTGATTGCGTAATATATATAGTTGCATCGATTTATAGAATTATGCAAATCAGCCAAATTGCATTACGGAAATTACGATTGCGTGTGCGTACGACTTATGTTAATTAAACTTTAATCATTTAAGTAATTGGATTGAACAACAAACAGGTTTTATTATTAATTATCCCCGATCGGTATATTTATTTATCCGTTTCTAAAAGATTTTGCAGTAAAATTAACTATTGATTATACAATAATAGACGGATTTGAAAATTTGAGTAATTCAGAAAAATTTGTATTTTCCAAATGAGAAAAACTTTCTTTTATCTTATTCGTAATCTCAATATTATTTTTCAAGTGTAATGGAAATAGTTCCGAAGCCTTTTAAAGTTTAATTATTTTTTAAAAATCTTTTTAAATGAAAACGAAAGAAAATTTGATTCAACAATAAGATATACTCATGATATATTATAAAACACTTAATATTGTGTAAATACTTACTATTGTCTAAACACTTACTATTGTGTAAATGGCAGGGGATAAATCAATTATATCCTGGCTAATGAAATAGTAAAAACTTTACTTCAGTACTTAGAATCGGAATATAACCGATCGGCCGATCATTTATCCGATTATAGTAAAATTTACTTATTCCTAATTAGCCAGGATATAAGTGATACGAATAATGTGACATTTCCAAAACTAGTTAGCATATAGTAATGATGTCGGAATTATTCGGAGTCAAGGATTTATGATTGTGTATAGTTTCTTAACAGATATTTTCCCGAATGAGTTAGTTTATCTAATGATAGAAAGTTCGAAATTTATTTTATCTAAAAAAGTAGTTACAGTGAAAAAAAGTTCGAAACCTGGACCGTTTCAGAAGTCAGTCATTAATACAATCAGAATCCAAAAGATATAAATACTATGGGTCAACGAAGTTGAAATTTTTATTCATTTTTGAAAGAAATGGCTCAAGATTCTACTTCTCCTGTTAAAACCACTAAAGCTCTTGATGATTATGTCCTATTAGGTCGTAGTGGATTGAGAGTTTCTCCGTTATGTCTTGGTACTATGGTAAGATTATTCATAAATTATTCGTAAATTTGATCAAATTATAATTAAGTATTTGTAATACTATGTTTTATTTAACGCATAAAGACTTTTGGAGAAACATGGGTAAGTTTTCTTACAATATTAATTCGAATTGAATTAATAAAAAAAAAGGAAAGAAAGATAATTTTGTATATTTACCATAAAAATAGGGAGGTTCTAATAAAGAAGAATCGAAAAAAATTTTTGACCTTTATTATGAGAAGGGTGGAAATTTCTTTGGTAATTTTTATTTATTATTTTTTTTTATCACGAAATCAATTAAAAAAATCTAATAACAAGTATATCTTTTAGATACCGCCTGTACTTATAATAATGGTGAAGTAAGTTATATAAAAAAAACAATATTTTTTAATTAATTCAATACTAATATTCATTAATATAAATAATTAGAGTGAACGTTTCCTTGGAGATTATATTTCCGATAAACGATCCGATGTTGTGATTGCAACAAAATATTCGTGTATGAATCATGAGACGTCTAGTACGTGACATTATTCAAATTTTGAATAAATAATAATTTCGATTTAATTCTTAGGTAATATGACTGTTATGCAAAAGGATAAGAGATTCAATCCGAATCTCGGTAAGTTAGTCAACTATTCATAATACAATTAATACATAGTATTAAATATTTTTACATTAGTTGATAATAAATGAAAATTCAACTATTGAAAATATAGGAGGAAATCATCGAAAGAGTCTTGTAGAAAATTTAGATGGTAGCTTGAAACGATTGAACATGAGTTACGTTGATATTCTATATGTTCATGTTTATGAGTATCGAACTCCAATTGAAGAATATATGAGATCATTAGATGACATCGTTCGAAGTGGAAAGGTAACAATGTCTTAAACCATTCATTTAAATAAGTTTTTTTTATAAATAAATATTTTAAAAAAACAATAGGCTTTGTACGTTGCCGTAAGCGATATTCCAGCTTGGGCACTTTCTCGTTCAAATACTCTTGCCGAATTACGTGGATGGAGGTACGAAATTGCAATATCTTGTAAATAATAAAGATGAATTTTTAGGTTAACATATATTTAATAACCGTATTTAGCCCTTTCATCGGACTTCAATCGCGCTATAATTTGTTGGATCGTTCATTAGAATTTGACTTACAACCAGCTTGTGCTGAACATGAAGTATGTTTTATAAATTTAATTCACGTTCATAATTCACCTGAACCACATGACATTTAATAAAAAATTTTTTTTTAGGTTGGAATTATTCCATGGGCTATCTTAGCAGAAGGGTAATTAATCATTTATATATTGATGCTACTTATCTTTCATAAATATAAAAATAATATGGTAATGGTTTTATATAAATAGTTTTCTTACCGGAAAATATACGAGAGAATCAACCAAAACTCAATCAAGTACAAACCTTGGTGACGAATCGAAAATGATGGAAGAATATCGCAGTCTATCAGTTCAAAATCATTCAAGATATGAAAAAAATTGGGAGATTTTAGATAAAGTTATTGCTATTTCAAAAGAAATTAACAGATCTCCTGTTCAGGTAATTATTTATATTCAATCTTTAAATATTATATATAATTTTTAATAAATTTATTTTTTTTTCTTTTTATATGAATAGGTTGCCACGAATTGGATTCAACAAAAACCTGGTATTACTTCTCCTATTATTGGTGCTAAAACAGTTACTCAACTCGAAGAAAATCTTAAATCACTTGAATTCAAGTAAGTGATTATTATCCAACAAACCTTTTTCTTTATTTTATTAAAAAAAAAAAAATTGTTTTTTAACTATAAACTATTTTCAGATTGACACCTGAACAAATGAAAAGACTCGATGATGTTTCTCAACCAACTGGACGTGAAATTCCATTTCCTTATACGTTTATTAATTCTTTTGATTCATTTCTCGGAAAAAATACTCAAGTTCCAAATAAATTTGCATCTATTGCGACTAAGTATAACTTTGGAAGATTAGATTGATATCATTACTTAAGTTTCGCAATTTAATATATGCAATTATCTCTATTTTTTCTCGAATTTGTCGTAAAATATACTGTTTCAAATTTTTTTTTTTTGTGTTTATATTTATCCTCTTAACACTATTTTATATCTTAGTATATAAAGCCCTATAAATAAATTTGAAAATCAACTATTTGATATTTTATTTATTTATTTAACGTTACTTCTTTAATGGATTAAATAAAATATTTATTTTGCAAAGAAAAAATTACATTTAAATGTACTGTATGTAATAAATCTTGTAACCGATCAACGTTTAATTATTCCTTTCTTACACAAACAAAAGAGGAAGTTTTTAACAATTTAATAAGCTTGATAGTGACTTTAACTCCCGTCTTCCAAAAAAATGCAGCGCCTGAAGAAATTGTGAAAGACAAAAATAAACGCGTTAACGAAGAGGGAGACAGGCAAGAGCGTGAAAAAATTTCAAAACATTAATTTAGAATAGTGCGTAATATAGATTTTTGATAGGAATCGCTTTAAACGTGGCGTTTTATTATATATATGTATATTATCATACTTACGCGTGCCACTGACAGACTTTGTAAGTTTAAAAGTGGTAAATTTAAATAATGTATTATAAATGGTAAATTTTAATATGAGTAAAGAGCACTAATACTTATATTTGTTATCATAGAAAGCAAAAAAGGTATTAAGATGAAATTTATTTTACTTTTAATATAAAAAAAATTTAATCCCTTTTTCGATCTTACTAAGAAAAATCTCTTTATTTAGAAAACGCATTATTCATAAATGTGCGCAATATAAAATTTGATAAACTTCCAGAGTACATGAGTGGCCTACTATGTCGGGAAAAAAAATATTAGCTTAAATATTTTTTAAAGTTGCTTAATTATTAAATAGTTATTGGATGAGAGGATAGAGATACCGGTCGAAGACCGATATCCCCATCTAATAATGCAATAACTGAGTTATAGTTCAATCATTAGGAATACTGCGGTGACCAATAGGAATTAATATTACTAATAATGTTTCATTTCATTTTATTTTTTTTACTTAAAAAAATCGAATGATCATTTATGTACAGTATTCTGTTAGTAATTGCTTTATTTTTGTTAACAATACATTCGTTTTTTTAGGCCTGGAATGGATTTAAATATAAATTATTTACCATTTTTATTGATCTTTTTTAAGAACGATTTGCATGTAAGGCCTTCTAAAAATAATTACCTATTAATAATTATAATTATATATATATATATATATATAAATAATATTCTTATTACACAGTGAAATTCGATAAACCGGATCTATCGGTTCCATTAAAAATATCCGGATATCTGGTATAGCGAAAAAATTTCGATGTATTGAAATCTATTATACTGAATTTTTCATGCTAATAAAACTAATATCAATACACTATATTTTGATTTTTTCATCTTAGTTTTAAGCCATAGAGGTCATGAAAATGAACATAAGAATATATATAACTTCAGCCAGAATAAGATTTTTATAATTCTGGCCAAAATTTCTGATTTACCGCATCACGTTACTTAAATTTTATTGGTTCATGATCACGGGATCCGGTTTATCATTTTTACTATGGTTAGAAAATTGATCCGTAATAGCAAATATCGAGCTTTTACTAAACTCCGGTATATTGAAACTATTTTAATATACGTGATTTGGTTCCAGCAAAAAAGTCTGGGTTAGGCCCAAATCCGGTTTATCAAAGATCTGGTTTATCGAATTTGGCTGTGTATATGAGTTGGCTGGCAAATTAAAAATTTTAAATAAGTTACATTTGATAATAAAAAAGGCTGATATAAATAGATTTTCCCTTTACGCTGCGTAAATGTAGACGATTTTTTCGGATCATCCTTTTTTTTGGTAATAAATATTATTTATAGTTTTTTATCAATTTTTTAACTGCTTTGGTTTAATAATTCTGGACTTTTTTGAATATACATCATTTGTTTTTCCATCAATTAAAAATTGATACTGTCGGTCTCGTGTTATCTATGAAATTGCTATTATGGAAAAAAAAATTTATTTGGGTTCTGATTCATACAAATATATTATTATAAGGCTAGGAAATGAAAAAAAATTTTTAACACCTTATTTAACATTACCATTATCTTACATATTTTTTTTTGTAAAATCTTTTTAAATAATTTATCATTTGGCTTCCCTATAAAAAAATTGGGATACGTTTTTTATAAAGTTTTTATACGATTTTTTTTCCTTAGAAATAACGTATCATAATAGGATACGGAAAAATGCACAATTCCGTATCACTAAAAATATGGTTTGGATACGGAATTTGCATGGAATTCATATGGAATTTACATGATTTGATCACTGATTTTACCACGAAATTTATACGATTTGGTCACTGAATTTACTATTTGTATTACAGTTTACTATAATTATATTTACATAAATCTAATTTTACTTTATTAAATTAAATAAAAAATAAAAAATAAACAAAATACAAATACATTATGAAAATTCCCTCCTTATTAAAACCACCTATTGCAACCAAAATTATCTATAAGTTCAGGTTCATTTAGAGTCAAACAACCTAAAAAAAACAAAAAAAAGAAACATAAGAATGTCTAACTTAATTGGAAAAAAAAACCCCCCTTCATATAGTATCTGCAATCGTCCAAGTCACCAAAGGTCAGCATTCCTACAAAAAAAGAAAGAGAACTCCAGAATGTCTGACCTACATAAATGAAAGCATCTGATGAAAAAGAAACCAAAACAACAAAATAAATCCAAAACTGACCTACAAAAAAAGAAGACTCTAAAGCAACAAAACTGAAACAACCTACAAAAATAAAAGAATCTGAACCCAACTTACAAAAAAAAAAAGAAACAAAAAGGAAAGACTCCCAAACTGATCTACAAAAAAGAAAAAAGAAACTGAATCTTCTCA